TTTTAGTTTTGCAGTTATAAGCCAAAACTAGTATGCTGACATTATTTTGACTAGTGTAAATATTGTCCATCATTTTTTTATTGTATTTGTTGCCTATTGAAATTCTTTATTAATCTATTATAAATAATAATGGGTATTGTAAATATTGCAGGTGTAAGTTTTTTCCCATTATGAAATTTTTTTTTAAAAGATTTATTTATTTGTGTATACAGAACTGGGGTACAGGCCAGAGGTTCAGGGGGTGAGAGGATTCACCAGAGACAGAGTGGGGAACAGAACAGGCAGATTAACGAAGTACACTGCTGAGGGGAGCAGCGGGCGGGTCAGGAGAGGTCTGCCACGCCATGTGGTCACCTCCGGGGCAGGCGGGAATCGAACTCATGCGGAAGCGGCTTTTAGATTCTCAGTGCTGTGCTTTAACCCGCTGTGCCACCAGGGAGGGCCCCATTATGAAATTTTTTTCCTAATCCATCATATCCCAAAATTTGGCACTCATTTTGTTATTGTTATTGTACAAGTTTTAATGTTAAGTATTCCAAACTATGTTGTTCTTCGTTGTTATGTTTATCTAATGATGTGACCAGAAGTTTGCTATTCTTCTACAGATCCGATAAAGGTCAAGTATTTTCTATCACTTTTTCCTGTTTTTAATTTAATAAACTGTATGTAAGTTTAGTAGATGAAGTAATCTTTTCCAGCCATACCAGCTCTATGAAGCATCCCTCCCACCATGGTGACAGCCAAGTGCCCATCACATAGAGACAAATGGACTCCCAGACTCACACTACGGTCCACAGGGTCAGCTGCTCTTGTAGATTTGCTAATTCCACATGGTTTTAGCTTTTTGTTATTATGGTGGCTGTACATCCTAATACCTGCAATGGGTGACTTTAGCACTTCATTCTTCCTTTGTTATCATTTTATTTGTCCTTTACACAATCATTAGAATCAGGTTGTTGAGTCCAAAAGGAAAATGCTTTCAAAAGAGTTTTATAGCCATATACAGTTTCATAGAAAGGACACAGAAAATGTCAAAACACACTTCTATGAAGGTCTTTAGTAGATTCCTCCAGGGAGCTGGGGGAACCATGAAAACTATGAGTACTCCAGCCAATGAAGAACTTAAAAGTGCAAAGTGAAATGTGGCATCTGTGCCAGAAAATGTGAACCCATGCGGCAGCAGCATGCCACTCTGTCCTGGTTTATCTTGATATCGGACGTTGGTTAAGCCCTTTGTGTGGGGAAGTCCTGAGTGAGCTTGTGCATGTCCCACAGAGACTTTACAGAGAGCTTTACTCAACATCAACCCCAGAACTTAAAGGAAGTCAGAATTATTCCAAATGAGTCTCAGATGAACCAGGCAAGCTCTTTTTGAAGTTAGTTCTTACCAACTAGGACAGACCCTCCATCTCAGGTGACTTTCTCAAGGAACCACAGGCTTCGCTGCTAGTTGTGGAGCCTGTGGGTACATTCTCTGGACCAAGGACATCTGAGGGCTTTTCAGTGTGATCCTGGTCAAAAGAACATCCATGTAGAAATCTTCAGGTTCTCTCTCAGTAAATTGCTCCACTTTCTCTGCTCACATAAAAACAATAAGCAGCTTTCATTGAGTAGCCTCACCATTTGACCAGAAGCCTTCTCTAAAAAGAACAGGTCAATTTCCTTAGCCCCCTGGATGAGGAAGGTGTTTAACCTCATAAGAGAGAAATATTTTATGAAGGAATAGCAGGATTCATTACTTATGTTGGAAATAAGATGTGTGTCCATGCACATAGGAAGGTACATTTTAGGTGAAATATAAAGATGCACCAAAAGTAGAATAACACAGATGCAGTGTGAATTCATCCTCCTAGCTGAAAAAGATCGGGCAAATTAAATAAACCTAAGCTCTACCTGTAATAAAGGAATTACAAATAAAGAATAAAGGAATTACTTCATTTATAAAATAAATTAGAAAATTATGTGAAGTTTAAAGTAAATCATTTATAAAAACTATACCTCTACTATCACTGTCTTACTATGCGAAATAGAGGTTTAACAAATATGCTAGTCAATCCATAAGCAATGTCCTCTTCATACCCTCTCAGACTTCCTATTTTCAAGATGAAAAAGAAAAGGACTTAAAGTAAGAGTTGATTTTTCCAAAGCAAGCAGGCAAGTAAACATTCTAAGTGTGAAGGTACCTGGATGTCTTGAGGCATGTCTATGGGCTGTCCCATGGTGCCCAGACTAAGAACTTGATGTTGGTCATTCACATCCACATACTTTTCTCTTCTCTGCAGGAGGGATAAGTGACTGTGACAAGGTTAGATCTAACTCCATCCCATGTCATCATCCATATCTGAGGACATTCAGTCTGCTCTATTTTCTGACACCTTGACTAGTACTGGTATACCAGAACTTTGCCTCTCCACTCCCCACATCATGTTAGGACTCAAATCTGATTACTAATCTTTTGTCCTATGGGACAAAAGCTAACAGGATTGACTAAATAAGGTGACATCGTCTCACTAAATTAATTTTCTTTTATGATTTATAAAGCTAACACCTTTTGAATCCTTACCACATGGCAGTGTGCTCAACATTTAGCATGAATTGCCATCTAACTCTCATAAGAACAGCACGTGGTGGGCTTCCTTATGCTGTCTTGCAGTACATTAGCTGAGTCTTAGGTGGTTTAAAAGTCATTTGCTGCTGGTCACCTACCAAATGAGTGACAGAGCCAGGCTTCAAACATGAACCCCTCCAACAATGAAACTCTCACTACTCTCTTCTCTGCAATCTCCCTTCAGGGTACATACACCTCCTGGGATGTCACCCTCCAGAAAGACTGCCTTCCACATACAAGCCACGTCATGCTTGTTCCACACTTTTGTGAACCTATAGTGCATCATTCCTAAAGTTTCAGTGTTCAGCTTTACCATAAATTGTATGCACAGTATTCAAAGCCTCTGTGTCACCCCCTCTATTAACTTGTTGCTTTCAATTTTAGATAAGAACCAGCCCTTTTGTTGTATTTGAATTTCAATACCTTATTGGCTTGCCTGACACTGGTCTCAAGGAAGCCAAGTTGTATTGAAAATGTGTATTGAAAATGTGTATTGAAAATGTGTATTGAAAATGTTACTGGGACACAATGGGATGAAAGTGAGTGAATGTGTTCCAATTATACCTAAATCTTCATGAGTCAATGCCTCAGTAGGTTTCAATGTGCCTATGAATTTATGTGAAAGTTTCTGGAACACGCAGCTTAATTTTTTGTTTTTTTAACAATGGAATGTGGATAGGCACATGCAACTTTTACAAGAACAGCATGACGTAGGTTTTCTTATTGCTGTTTGACCCCAGTCTGATTCTGGCAGAATCTTATGTTCCTAATCAAGAAGTTCACTGTTTTGAGATGCAGCAGCTTAGTCAAAAGGGCAATACTATACGACACCCAAACTCTTCTCTGAAATATATCTAGCCTGGGTGTAGGCAGGAGGAAACAAACCTGAAGTCAGCACTTCACAAGCAGTCCACCAGAAAAAGAGGTTTGAGAGAGAGGAGACTGGACTTGTGGTCCAGGACAGCTGGACTTGAACTCTGATTCTGCCATTTGTGCACTAAATGACCCAGGAAATCTCAAATGTGTCATCTGTGAAGCAGGAATGGCAATTATTCTGTCTTGAAGGGTTGTCATCATGGAATATGGACTATGGTAAGCATCTCGAGGAGGTGACACTAGAGGGGATGCCCACAGAGCCCCACCCAATCAAATGCACCAAAACACTGAATTCCCCTAGAAGAGCGCAGCCCAGCCTCATTCCACACAGACAAACCTGAGCACACCATCATCTGGGTCCTCAGTCTCCTCTAGGTCTTCCCATTCGCTCTCATTATCATGGGACTCTTCTGGAGGCCAAGACTTTGAGAAATAATTCCAAGAACAGAACTGTGGCAAGGGAATGGTTGCAGAATCTGCCTCCAAACATTCTCTGCAGGGTAACTGGCCTTCTGTTGTAGAATAGATGGTCAGATATGCTTCAGCCGCCATAGTTGGTGAAGGGGCTTCAAGTGGATGGCACATGTCAACTTCCTCAACATCCCTGCCCAACTCAGGACTAGAAAACAGAAATCCATGTGTCTTCCAGCATTGATCAGACATTGCTCGCCGCCGCCCCTTGCCTTGCCTTTCAGGATGCTCACCATGACATCCCAGGAAAACTACCAGGTCTCAACCATTTCTGCCAGAGACTGCTCTGGACCAAGAGTAATGAATAAGGCATAGCCCCTGACCTTGAGGTTAAAAAATGTAATAAAGCAGGAAGTAAGTGCTGTGATGGAGGCAACACAGAGCATTTAGGAGCTGGAGGAGCAACTTTACTGAGCCCAGGACATCATGGGGACTTGCCAGAGGGCAGACATGGAAAGCAGAGCTCTGACCCAGATCTAGCACTGAGTCTTTGCTTAGAAAACAGAGTTGTGCAGACCTCCTGGAGGTTTCTTAATGTCTCTGGGGCCTCAGTTTTCTCATTTGAAAAATGGGAACATCAAGAAACTTATAGGATTTTTGCAATGCTTAAATTAAATAATTTTGGTACAGTCTTCCATTGGTCCTGGTCCAGGATAAGCTCTCAGTAAAAGGGAGATGCTATTATGCCTCTATGATGATGACTGTTATTATAATGTAGGAATTAGATGGACGGGGTCAAAGAAGAACGTTGGGAGCAACTGAAATAGATGCCCTTCAAAGCACTTTGTGCAAATATCAGGTCCTTTTGTGGGCAATGAAAAAGTGCCTATTTGGGGAGGCAGCCAGCTGGAATGACATTTACTCCCCATGTGACACAGGAAGCAGACAAAGGATGAGGCTCATTGTCTGGCAGAGAAGCTGCAGACACAAAGGTGAAAGAATAAGGTTTCTATAATGTGCCATAGATGCTTTGTCACTAGAAAAAAAAGCAGTTCATGCAGACGAGAGTGTTTTGCACAGCTCTTCAAACATGCAGAGAAGATGCTCAGAAACTATCTGTTGAAAGTTTGGTTAGAGAGGACACGTAGGAAAATCTAAGAGAAAAACACCCAAATTTAGTTTTTTACCAAAGGTATAAATCTTGCTTGCCATCCTCCCTTCCCCACCCTAATGAGTTGGCTTTGCTGCATGCCCTGCCCTCCTTCTCCCTTTCCAGAAATGCCTCCTCCTTTTGAAATTAGCTCTGGGACCTCTCAGTAGCTACAACGCCTCCCCCTCCAAACCCAGAGTCAGTCCTCCTCCCCAGTAGAATCAGGTGTCTATCCCAACTTGAGCTTTGCTATCAAAGAGACATGATTTCTGCTCATGAGAACTATGTCAATGTGCATTTCATGTATTATATGTACCCTCATGTGTGGGAAAAGGAGACTGTGCCAAAGGACTGAAGATGAACATTAAGCAAATGATATTTAAAAACCTAAGCGAGTAGTTTGAGGGATATTTGATTTTAAACCTTAAAGCGCTCAACCATATTTTCTAGAAGATTCAAGTTTTCTTGTAAACCTAGAGGTGACATCAAGGAAATTAAATCCAAGAATGGGAAATCCAGTCTGTTGCCCAAACCAGTCCTGTCCCAGCCCCTCAAAATCCCCCAGTAGGAGGCCGATCCCTCCCTCCCTGCCGAGAAGCAGGGGTATAGGCATTGCATACAACCTCTGGGTGCCCACACAACTCCCAATCAGTCCTCCACCAGTCCTTCCAATAGCACCTTGCTCTCTGGGTTTGATTCAGGGTTCCAGCTACAGGCTCTGCCAAGACAGAGGCCCAGAGGCAAGGTAGTCTGAGATACCAGAGGCAAGGTAGTCTGACTGTCCAGAGGGGGTTTCATGTTCCCCCCCCACCCCACCCCAGGAGAAGTCCTGGCTATCATCCCACTGAGTCCGAGAAAATGATGATTGCCTTTCATTCTGGGGATGGGATCTGGTATTGATTATAATGAAGGAAAAGGTGGGCAAGGACAGAAGAGTCCATGAGAGTCCTCAAGTGGAGCCTACTTCATGGGATTGGCAAGACTGGCAACCTGGGCAATCTAATAAGAACAGTGGTTTTGCTTGGCAGCTGACCACACCAAGTAGAGGCAAAGTCCTTTATCCATCTCTCAAGGTCAGCTTAGGGTCCTGGGGCTTATACAGCAGGACTCCTGTTCAGAGCCTGAAGGGATCAGCATGCCCAGACCTGTCTGCTCACAGCCACTCCATTTAATGACCTCACTTGCTCCCTGCCCTCATTCTCTTCCTACCCAACTGTCTGCTGAAAGAAGCCTTTTCTAGACAGACTAGAAGAGAATCTGGAGCCCCCAGGACTCCCAGCTCAATTTCCTCCCCATACAAGCTGTCAGAGGCCTGGAACCAAGCCCCACCTCAAATCCTTCAACTCTAGCAGTTTCTTTTAAGGAAAGGAATGTCAGTCCAACCTGGAGGTCAGTGAAACCATTTCTGTTTGCTCATAATATTGACCCACACTGGAAGACACAGTGTCCAACTTCCCTGGACAGCTGTTCTTTAGAGATCTGGGCTTTCAAAATCATGTCCTTCTTTCAGGAAGACAAGTCAAATGAGTACATAGCACTTCAGGCCTGAAATACCTGGGTATTGTAATTGCCCTATTAGCTGGGATTGCACTCACAAAGGTCCCGGTTTTGTGTCTCTTATATGAGGCTCCACTTTCTCCAGCTCTCCAGTATCAGTCTCAGCCCCAGCTGATGTTCCTGTCACCCTAGTGAATGTAGCTGAGAACTTTGGGCTTCTGTTCTTGAACTTTAGCACTTGGCAGGTTGCAGCTGTGGTGGGACTAAGACACCAAATAGGGAAGTCCAGCAAATGCTGGGTTTGAAGTTCAAATGATTAATCAGAAGCTGTAAGAGTCATGTGCCAGGCTAGGTATGCATGGGGTAGGTGGTTTCCCTGGGAGCCTCTAAGTGCAGGAGAGAGCCTGACTGAAGGCAGCACTAGGTCCCTGACTGCCAATGGCTCTGCCCTGCTGTGTTAGCTGTCCAGCTGCTACTGGCCAGGACCAGAGAAGCTTTCACAGAGGTCCTCTCTGCCCCCATCTGGTGACAGCTCTGCTCCCATGGCAGGCTCCTCCCTTGATCAACTAACCTGATAGATATCTAGCTGCCACATGGCAGCTGCAGTTAAGCTACACCTTTAACCTCCTAATTGTCCTCTGCTATTTCAGGAATAGTGGTGCCCAGAAGCCATAGAGTAAGCTTAGGCTCATTTCAAGGATTCCAGCTTCATTTTGTATTCTTCATAATCATGAAATCTTGTATTATCACTTTTTCACCAAATGATACTTGCATGTTGGTTACACGAAGTTAAGTATATGTCTAGGTTGAGAAGGCGCCTTAAATACTCAGGAATGACCACTCCATGAGCTTTCCCACTCCAAGCTCAGCACTGAGGTGACTGAGTGGGGAACCTGAAGCTGCCACCCCTCCATCCTGTGAGTGTAGTATTTACAGACAAGCATTTGTAGCCAATGCTATGTTCCCATAACAGGGGCTCAGATAACATCACACCTTCCAAAGGGATGAGCAATGCTCACGGGTAATGCGCCCTGATGTGATTTTCACCTTTTGCCCTAACTGTAGAAACTAACCTTGCAGTAGATGCTGCTCCAGTCAAGTGCCAAGACTTCCTTCGAGCAGGCACACAATTCCAACATTCCACCATGAAAATGAACTGTACCACTGCATTACAACATGCTTTATGAGGTGTATCAATTACTGCTGGACTATAATAGTAGGGAACTATAAATACATTTGTGTCTATGCATTTTCAGACCATGGGAATGAACACTGCTGATGAGTGAATGTGCTTGCCCACTTTGATTCACTTTGGAAAATAGGTGGCTTTTGTTTGGCTGGCAAACTATTCTTTGAAAACATGTATCTGACCGCTCTTAGGGATGTACATCTGACTCCTAATGGGCTTATGTTGCATCCTGCCTAATGGAATTAACCAGTTGCTCCACTCTTCATGTTCACCTACCAGCCTCTACAGATCTGCATTTGTGAGTGTCCTAGGATGACCAACAAGCAAGAACATTTGAGCTTAGCAGGTGCATAGTGCGTCAAACACCTTTGGATTACCTGCTCAGTGTCCTCGCATCGAGCTAGACCCCTCCTAGAAACAGCATCTTATCCTCTCTCAGTATTGGTCCCCCTTCTGCTTTGAACAGGTTCCTAAGCCCCTTGGGTATATAGAAAATTTATTTGGAAAACTGATAAAAGAGTTATGTTTTCCTTAAGAAGAGAACTGAGAATTGAAAATACATAGGGGGATGTGAACAAAAACATAGATTAAGTTAAAAATTCCTATTAAAATGAATGTTTCAGTGTGGTTTTGAAAGCGTGTGCATGTGGTTGGGTGTGTTTAAGTTTGTATTGACTGTGAAATGTTGTAACAGTAACAGAAATGACAATACACACAAGGGCACTTCTTTTTACCAGTGTTGTAATAGGGTGGATGCTGGACAAAGATTTGTGTGCTGGGGAAAAAAACAAGTCCTGCCATCTGTAGGCTCCAAAACTATTGGAGGCCCACTGGGTGGTCCCCAAAGCTCAAAAGCTGTGGCTAACACAGCTCCTGCCTTTCTCTACTTTCACCTTCTCTTCAATGCCTGAAACAGTGCAACCCCTAGTAAGCATCTGAGTTACTGATTGTTCCATCGTGGTTTCTACCACACACCATTCACAAAATGCCTGCAAATGTGGTTAATGCTTACCTTTCCAGTCTTCTGAGGTCACAAACCGAGTAGCAGTTTTGCCTCATATCCTTTTCCAAAGAGGTAGCCAATGCTAACGCATCTATTTCTTGCTGAAACCTGCATAGGTGAGGGTGGGGATCCTGGGCAGACATCAGAGATGTGGCCCACGGTCTTACGAGATCTCCATCCCATTGTGCCTCTCTGGTGGCCTCTCGGCAAGACTCTGGCCTGTGACCCAGGCCCTCCCCTGTGCCTGGGATGGCGCTGCCCCCCTGGCTGTCTTCTTGAGCCAGGTTGGGGATCCACTCTGAATCAGTGCCTGGTGCCCCGTTGAATTCTTTGTCTGCTGAGAGCACGGGTGTCTATAAAAGGAAATGCTAGAGATTACTGGATCCTAGGTACATGCTGAGAAAAATCTAAAAATTAACTCTTTAAAGAATAAAACTTTTTTTTTTTTCATGATTGTAGAACAGAGAAGTTAAGAGACAGGCTCTGGGGTCAGTCTCCCCCTATCAGGGCCCCAGCTCCCACGGGGTGCTAGACAATGCTCTTCACCACCCCTGAGTCCCTTGGCTTAGGAACACTGGAACACTGGAAACTCTTGATAACTGTGAGCATTATTTTTTTTTTAACCAAAAATACATGGAAATTTTAGAAAAGATGAAAACAGAAGTAACAATGACTTTTATCTCACTTTCCATTAAGAAAAATGTTTTCAATCTTGTTGTTTTAATCTTTCCTCATCCAAAATAACCCATTTTCACAGCCTCATCTCCTTGCCCATTCTCCCTTCATTCTCATCAGCTGATTGCATTCTTGTTGCCTCGTCTAGGTCCTAACACCTAATTTTGGTTACCTGCTATTACACACTAACATGGCTCAACTTGCTACAGAAAAAAAAAAATCTGTGGGGCATAGAAACACTGCATTCTCTACAGAACCACCTTCTGGTTTCTCTGCTGCTAGCTGCATTCGTTGTTTTGAGCTATCTTATAACTCTACATAAATTAACATGTTCTTTGAAATTTCTTTTGAACGTTTGCCTGGTTCCCTCATTGAATTAGTTAGATAAAAACAAATTTTAAGGCCCTCCCTGGTGGCGCAGCGGGTTAAAACACAGCCCTAAGAAGCTTAAGCCACTTCCACATGAGTTCGATACCTGCCTGCCCCGGAAGTGACCACATGGCGTGGCAGACCTTTCCTGACCCGCCCGCTGCTCCCCTCAACAGTGTATTTCATAGATCTGCCTGTTCTGCTCCCTGCTCTGTCTCTGGTGAAGCCTCTCACCTTCTGCATCTCTGGCCTGTACCCCAGTTCTGTATGAATAAATAAATTTAAAAAAATTTAAGATTTATTATTTGTGCATACAGAACTAGGGTACAGGGACAGTGAGAGGATTCACTAGAGACAAAGTGGGGAGCAGAACAGGCAAATCAATGAAGCACACTGCTGAGGGGAGCAGCAGGTGGGTCAGGAGAGGTCTGCTGTGCTATATGGGTCACCTCTGGGGCGAGGATCAAACTCATGCTGAAGTGGCTTCAGCTTCTCAGTGCTGTGCTTTAACCCGCTGCACCACCAGGGAGGGCCTGTCAGATAAAAGTTTTAACACGAGTTCACTTTTTGTATCCATAGGACAGCTGTGACTTTACCTTTTCTAGGAAATGGGCTTTGAGCTCTTCTATCCTATGACCTGCATCGCTGGGTCAGCAGAGCACATGGAGCTGCCACGTAGGGTGAGCTGGGCTCCCGCCCCACCCCCATCTGTCAAAGCCTAGTGTTTCTTCACCTGGTTGCCCGCTCCCTAGAGTTGGGGGGCGGGGCACAGCCCCAAATATGCACTCTCATGACACTACTAATATATAGTGTATGCCAAAAATCAAAGTCTGAGTGGATAAGACAAAAATAAATACTAAGCACAATTACATTTTCTCTCATACTCCTTGGAAGACCCTCAAAACTTCATTTTTAAACACTCCTTTCTTTCCAGCCCATCATCCCCAGCACATGTTTTTCAGAAATCCTGCCTCTCCAGAGTCCGTGCATGGACCTGCTGTGCATCGCCCCCACCAGTGTCCTTGTTTTCCTTCTACCCTGCTCAGAGCCACAGCCTCCCCTCCTCCCCCCTCTGCTCCACAGTTGCCATCATGTACCTTCTCTTCCCAACTGGCAACTGCTGACACCTTTTCCATAGCATCAGGAGGACCTACGTCGCAAGTGCCCTGTGTTATCTTTAGTGACTGTCACTCTCAGAAGTAAGTGGCCATCTTTATCATGTCTTATAGATCAAGCATCATGACACCTAGAAAAGTCAGGCAACTGCCCGACACCAGTGCAGCAGAAGCATGGCAGAACAGGTGCAGGAGATTCTGGGGTACCACACAGGCTCCTCCAGGACAGATCTTCCTCCCCTGCCGCTGGGAGTGGCAGCTGCTCTGGCTCACAACTACCCCTTCCCAGGAATTGTGCTTCTTTCCAGGGAGGTGTCTCAGTCAAAGCTGGTCTCTTCTCTTAGGGAGGCCCACACACCAGTGCTGCTTACTGCAGGAGCCACTCTACCCACAGCAACCAATTCCACACAGCTCTGAGGGACCATCCCAGCTCCAGAGCAACCTGTGGGCTTAGCGAGGCCCCTGTTGCAGATGCTGCACATTGACTTTCCTTTCCACTTAGCCCTTCTTCCCGCACTCGTAAGGATTATTCCCGAGAGCTGGCCCATATACCCCCACACTCAAATGTCTACCACAGAGCCTGTGTCCTGTGAAGACAGTTAACTTGTGTCCAGGTGCCAATTTATTGGTTAATTTTATGTGATAAATCAGCTAAACCACAATGTACTAATATTTGGTCAAATGCTAGTCTCAGTATTTCTGTGAAGGTATGTTTTGGGGTGAGATTAATGTTTAAGCAGTAGACTTAAGAATAAAGCAGGTTAGCCTCCATAATATAGGTGGGCCTCATCCAATCAGTTGAAGGTCTTAAAAGAAAAAGACTGTGATCCCCAGAAGGAAATTCGGCCTCCATGTTGCCTTAGGACTCATATTACAACCTCAGCTCTGAGTTTCCGGCCTTTTAGCCTACTGTGCAGCATTTAGACAGCCTGTCCCCACCATCACATGAGCCAATTCCTTAAAAGTCTTTCTCATCATAGATATGATGTAGATATTACAGACCCTGTATATACATAGACACATATACATCCTATTTTTTCTGTTGTCTGGAGAATCTTACTAATGTAGGCATCAAGGTAAAATTTCCTGCTTCTCTGGCTCTTTTGCACTAGATTGTATATGTGTTTAATTCATACATTACAGATCTTGCTTTCCACATTTCTCACAATAGGCGTTCTTATCTTGCTTTTTTTTCTGGTTTTATATCTACTCTCCTTGCTTCCAGCTTCCACTCTCTGATTCATGAGCTTCCAGAGAATCTAACTCTAGAAGTTCCATGGATAAGCTCTAAACATATAATCACCTAGAGAAAAGACCCAAGTATTGAGAGAGGCAGAAGCAGGAGGGGACGGAGAAGGCAGAAACAGACCTTCATGAGCTTGTCACAGACTAATGGAGGTTTGCAGCCAGTTATTTTCCTGCCCCTGTGGAAGAAGATGGCATTGAACCCTATTTAAAGCAAAGATGGGTTTGTTAGGACTTACTAGACAGAAAAAGTGGCTGAACATGAGCCCTACAGAAACAATAGAGATCACAACCTTTTACCTGCCATCCCTGGTCTATCTCAGGCAGTACACCTGGAGGGGGTCGGCAGAGGAGCAGTGTGACTTCCTGTGAGGTCCCCCGAAGTAAATGGAGTACTTCCTATGAGAAACCAAAGTCCGTAGACAAATGTGGGACTGGAATGGCTGTGATCTGGTGCTTCCCACTATTTGCCCAGTGCTGGTCCTTCCAATATCCCACCTTGATCTATTTCCAAGTTCCACGGAACTTTGGAGAATACTGCTATGGCCTGACTTCCCAAAATATGAGTAATCAAGGTCACCGGCCAGTGTTCCCACAGAGGTGATACACCAGTAGTGAACTAGATGTGACCAGGGTCCACCAGTGCCTCTTCAGGGCAGCACCCGCCAATAGTGATTCCTTTCCTCACAGAGCAAGTAACTCAAACGTGCCTCCCTCCCCACCCCACTCCCCTTATATCCGTGCCGCTGGTCACACAGGCTCCACCACCCAACTTTAAAGCCTGTCACTTGGTCCTGAGCTTCCTACCATGGCCTGGCTTGGGTCCATGGAATCTCTCACCTGTTCCCATGGCCTTCCCTCTGCTTCTTGTCTTCCAGTGTGGAGGCTCACCTTTCTCTATTTTGGGTGGTCTTTCCAAAGCACAGGTACAACCAGGTTCTCCTGCTGAAGCCCCTCACTGGGGCTCAACATAAGCTTCTCAACACAGCATCCAGAACAGGACCATATGTACAGTTGCCTCTCACCCCACTCCCTCCAACCTACACCACATAGTGAGCTCCCCCCATGCTGGATCTCTTGCTCCTATTGGCCCAAGATTGAGCCACTCCTGCTGTGGGTGCTGCTGTCAGCAAACTGAAACTACACAACTTTTTCATTCCTGTACTTCTCAGTTTCACCAGAAACCATGTATTCAGTAAGCCAGTCCCCAAGTGTCCAGTCAGCCCTGGGTCTCCTTACCCCAAACCAGGTTGACAGTGTCTATCAGATGTTTTCTATTTTTCTCTCTAGTCTTTATCCTATAAAAGTTCCTCACCTTCCACCCCATTTTGTAGTCTCTGATAGAAAGAAGTGTTGATGCTTGTCTGTGTGTCTTTTTAGCACTCCAAGCCACCTTTCAGACCTCAACAGTTGAGGTTGATTGGCAGTTCTATTTCCTACTAAGATAAAGATTTCTTAACCTATTGGCACTATTGATATTTGGGGCTGGATAAATCTCATTGTAAGGGTTGTCCTGTGTACTGTATGATGATGAGCAGCGACTCTGGCCTCTGCCCAGCAGATGCTAGTAGCACCCACCAGTAGTGACAACCATAAATGTCTCTAGACTTTGCCAAACATCCCTTAAAAAGCAAAATTCTTCCTACCTGAGAACCTCTGATCTGGATACTATTTAGTAACCCTTAGCCCACAGTATACCCATGAATGTGTTCCCCTCCTCCGGTTACTGGCGCCAGTACTGCACCAAGGGCTTTAATCTCTTGCAACATGTACTATCCACAGTTTCTTGTTTTTTTGTCCACCCCACCTTCCTGAGCTGAGACTGCATGAACAACCTGTCTGTTTCATGGTTCGTACAGAGTTGTTGACCCAGTAACCATTCTCAGAGAACGGTTCTTGGATCAGGAGCTGATAGATGAGGCGCCTCAGTCCTACGGTACATGTCCCAAGATGCTCCACCCCTACTTCCCACCCTGCTTGGAGCCCCTTCACCTTTGTGTACATTTGCTCTGTGCTCTGCAGGTGGGAAGCCCTGTTCAGCTATGACCACATCTCCTGGTGGGCTGAGCCAGGGGGAGCATGGACAGAGCCCAGACAGCGAGACTCAGGGAGAGGAGAGAGGTGGTGTCTATTTTCCTGACCTCTTCCCTGTGGGGTTGTCACAGGATGGCTGTACTATGTAAACGTCAGAGCTCATAGCCCAGGAGTCAGCAAAGCCACCCAGGCTGTGTGAATGCTCCTTCCCATATCTCTCTGGACTTAAGGAGGCAGATAGCTATAGCCACTGTTCCCAGCCCCAGAGCTCTATATTCTGCCTTGAGCCTCCTATCAACAGCCGTTATCTTTATCCCATTTTCTGCCAAGACCCTGTCTGATATATACAACATATCACTGAGATTTTGCACTGTAAGCATTGAGAAGTAACCACTTTTCACTGTCTTTTGAAATGCCAACCCATGAGATCCTATGCATCAAAAGCTATGTTTGATAGGGAAATAGGATGACCCATTATAGCCCCTTCAGCCCTCACATCAACCTCCCAGACCATGCATTAGGAGAAATGCAGTCAGCAGAGAAGCCAGAGCTTTATCTTGGGTCTCACTATTAACCTAATTAGAAGCAAGGCTTACTTAGATATTTAAGAACTAAGATAAAAATTTAAATGTAAGAATTTTCTCCCAATTGTTCTTTGTGTGATCAAAGTGCAGACTCCAAGTGTGATTTTCTAGAGCCCAGGCATACTCTCTGGGGAGTGGGCCTGCGAGGACCAGGCCGGCATCAGCTTGCACGTAGCCACATCACTCTGGCCTCCCACCTGGAAGACGAGGCCTTCTGTGGGCCTTCCGTTCACAGCCAGGATGATGTCACCAGCTGCGATGGCCCCATTCTCTTCAGCTGGCTGCCCTGGGAAGAGCTTCTTAATTCTCACAAGATGGTTCTTGAGATGGCCACAGCTTTCTCTTTCCATCTGCACAAAGCTGAATCCCAGGCCACTGGCATTCTTTCTCAGTTTGACCTCAAACTTAGGACCTATATCATGGGATGTGAGCGAGATCAATTCTTCAATAGATGTTACAAATTAAATCAGCCAACCTCCAAATGCCAGCTCCAAAATTTTGCATCATGGACACTGTTTGCAACCATGGACATAACTATGGCCAATTCTATGAAGTGTTTTAGTTGCTATTTTATTTAGCTGTGTGAACTGAGATAAGACAAAACAGAGCTGCCTCTGGGGACCTAATATGGATAACCTGGCAGCTATAGAGCCCTCTGGGCTTCCCCTAGTCTGCCTTCACAAAACCAGTTGTTCAGCATCAGTAGAGACAGAGTATTGACTTGCAAACTTTGGGGCAATAATATAGGCTCCTGAAGCAGTGATGCGCATGGGTGTTTTGTAGACAAAATTACCATCATCATAAGCTCATTCTGTAGTCAGTTTCTCAAAGGCCCTCACTGGAGTGGGCTTAAAAGGAAGCAAGAAAGAGGACACAGACTTGTTTAAGTTACACACTTTTCTCTCCACTCACCCCCATCATTCATGTCACTGTCTGGTGTTCACTGTCTGACTTACACCTCCTGCAGAGGGCCTGCAAATTCTCTATAAAGGCAGTGAAAAAATGGTGAAGCCCCAATTCATGATATACTGAGGAAATAAATGCTTTCCTAGCAGGAAACAAAACCACAAGGAAATGCAGAAAGGCAGCCCATCAGAAGATCTGTCATTCTTTGCAATGACACCCCTGTAAATTCATCTTGGATTTGCTTTATAAATTGATGCTGATTACAAGACTAGGTTGCAAGCATACTCCTTTGCCCACCTGCCACATCATTCCTCAACAATCTTATTACAAGTGTCCTGGCTGGAATGCAGAGCTTTAGCCAGAATATGCATGACCTTTCACTTCAATTTCATCCCTGGAAATCTTATACACAAACATTCCAGCTGCTGATCAGAAAGGCTCAGGAGACTTGGGGAAAGAATCATTTTTGGCACAATGCATTTTTTTTTTCTCTAGAAATGTTTTTCACTAGTTTAGCTTCTGTTGCATCAGAAAGTGCATCAGAAAGCTGCATCATGACCACCACTGCGGGCTTTTCTTTTAAGAACCCAGAAGAAGCCTTCCTGCTTTCCCTTTTGAGCTGACAGTTCAAAAGCGGCACAGGATGACATGACAATAGTAACACTCGATTCTCTCTCCTCTCACCATCTGTCGCTGAGACACAGCTCAGGGGTCTGCCAGGCAAGGCTGTTGCCAAGGAAACAGTCGTGTATTCATCTCCTACCCTGTCATTAGCAGAAGGACACTGCTGTGTAGTCCTGGGGCCTCTCCGCTCTAAGACCAGTCTTGCAACCTAGAAAGATAGATGGACAAACCCCATTTATACTTCATATAGCAGCCAGGAATCTCTCCCTGCATTCTACAAATACTTCTTAATTTTCTGATCATTCTAGGAGCGCTTCTCAAATCAGCATCTCCAATATAATTTATTTGATCAGATCAAGAACTATATTTCCAACTCACTCCAACTGGAGCTGACACATTACCACTATTTTAGTATATTCAAGGTCAAATTCATCTTCTTCCTCTCATGCATCCTTGCTTCCCCCTTTTCATTCTGCCTAAAACATTAAAACAGTTGTTCCTTTGCATATGCTTTCTTAGAATTTGGGACATCTCCAGCTAGCCGCCTCCCTTCCCCAAGGCCATGCTATCAGTGGTCCAGGTCTCCTCCTCCGCCCTCCAGACAGCCATCTGTTTTCCAAGGCTTGATGCCTCCATTCCCTCTCCTGCTACCAATGCTCAGCTTGATTGTGGCAAATTCCAGCTAACTCAGCTTCCCAGACTAGTTACTGCTCCAACCTATTATGGCTACCTGTGGATCTAGTAAGTCACAATTTGAACATGCAGCACTCTGGATTAAGAGTCTCTAGTGTTTCCTATTTCTTAAAAGTCAAATACCTCTTCTTCCCCCTCCATTGCATGGTATCCCAAGCCTTTGCCAGTCTGGCCTCCCTCCTTTCTGATTCAATTTCCTCTTCTTCCTTCTTCCACACACCCGCCCTACTCTTTTATCCAAAGTATGGTTCAAGAACCAGTTGCTAAACATCACCTGGCAACTTTTTAGAAATGCCAAGCTTCCCATCAGGAGCCTTCACTGGCTGCTGCAATAATCATTCAGTATCAAGTCCCTGACCCCAGAGTGGCAATGCCTCCTGTCATTGCTGCCAATAGGCCAGCCACGTATCTTCTCTAACCATGTTCATTAGCAAAGGTTTATAGAACAAAGAGCAGTGATAAATTATGGCTCTGTTCTCAAAATATATCAACAAGGTTGCCAATATAAATAAATGTCAAAACACTGCTTTGCAAAAGGAAAGAAAGGGACACTCTTGCCCCACGGTTTGCTGGCAGGGCCCCAGAGGGCCTTTCTGTCACTCCCAACTCCCTACTTACTGAGATGGCAGTGCCAGCTTTGGGGCTTAGAACACAGCAGCAAAAGGCAAGCAAAGGCACCCACCCTCAAGCAGAGGCCTTCACACCCCAAAGCTGCCTGGGGTGGCATAGAAGAGTCACTCAGTGAGTGACTGCCTGGGCACTTTGACTCTGCTTTTTGTGATGAAAAGAAGCCCAGAAGACTGTGGCCTGTCCTCTCACAGAGGGATAATCTGGCAAGTGTAGGGAGAAGTGGGAGGAAGGTTGGCGAGAAGGCCTAAAAGCAGAAGGAAGCACTGACCAGCTAGGGCCAGAGCAGAGAGGTGAGGGGGCAGTGAGAGTCAGACAGGAGATCCATCAGGCCTCACTCGTCAGCTCTGTTCAGCTGTCTGATCCCAGACTCTCAACAAATGAAAAGTCAGCTTTTCAACCTATTTATAGGGGGTGAGATTTTCTGCTTCAAAACATCTGTCTGCTTCATCCTGACGTTCATTTCTCCACAGAAAAGTGGTGGTAAAAGGAAATGAAGGGGGGGGGTAAAAAAGCCCTATTTTGCTTCCCGCCTGCCCCACCAAAGGCAACTGTAATTTCTGATGCTGTCCAGAAAAGCCCAGGAAGGAAATCTCCCTGCTAGTCATGCACTCACCTGTCCAGAGCCCTTGAGGCACTGCACGGCCTGCTTGTGGGTGAGGCCACACAGACTCACACCATCCACCTGCAAGAGCCGGTCACCTGGGAAAGGACAGATGTCATGCTCGTGGAGCTACAGGAAGGGCTCTTCTGGGGAGCTCCCACCCACAGTCTCTCCCTGCAGTCTCATGGAGGGACAGGCAGCAGCTGCAAGCAGCCCCCTGCCGAGTGCCAGCAAATGCTCCAAACCCCTTTGAGAGCAGGGATGGAGAAGGCTCTTGGAGTGGTGGAACCTGCTTGGACCGTCTTATCCTTTCTGCCTCCCTCGCTAACAGTTCCTGAAGCTTTTTTTCAGGTTTCTTACAGGTAATATTTTTGTTTTCTGATGTGTTTTACTTACTTAAAAAAAAAAAAAGTTAGGCCCTCCCTGGTGGCTCAGCATGTTAAAGCACAGCACTGAGAATCTAAAGCCGCTTCCACATGAGTTCGATCCCCGCTTGCCCTGGAGGTGACCACATGGCGTGGCAGACCTCTCCTGACCCGCCTACTGCTCCCCTCAGTAGTGTATTTCATCCGATCTGCCTGTTCTGCTCCCTGCTCTGTCTCTGGTGAAGCCTCTCACCGCCCCTGAGCCTCTGGCCTGTACCCCAGTTCTGTATGCACAAATAAATAAATCTTAAAAAAAAAAAAAAAGTTAAAGGGACCTGGTTGATGCTACGGACACTGAAATTCTAAGGGAATTGGATCTGAGGTGGCTTTTTGGTTCAATTCTGGCTGTTTTGGAAAACAATAAAATCACCCCTTTCCTGCAGAGCAGTGGACATGAAGAAGGATGGAGAGAAGCCTCACAGGGCTGTTCCCCACACTAAAAAGTTACTCATCCATGCATGCACTGTCCTCGTGAGAAGCACTATTTTCTGCCACAAAGGCCAATCTGCATCAGCTTCTTTAAGAATTGATCTAAGTCGCTTTATGCTGTGCAGCATGCCTCCACGAACATTCACTCCCCACATCAGTGGCTGGGCCAGGTAAATCACTCTCTTCCCAGGAGAGGCAACATTAACACAAGGTCTCAGAGCGGAATCCGGGAGGCCCACAGCTGCCCTTCCCAGGCCAGGGCCACCCACGCCTGGGAACACAGTGCCCAGCAGACACTGCACTCACCCCGCAGGATCTGCCCTTCCTTGGCAGCCGGCCCTCCAGGAACGATGGATTTCACGTAGATACCACCACACGGCACACTTGTGTTGATGCCACCCTGAAAGACACAGCGGCAAACTCTCCACCTGTCCAGCTCCTTCTGGAGGGGCCTTCCCGCCCCCCCTTCCCTGCCATTCAACTCCTTCAGCTCATCTTCATGTGACACCATCTCAGACATTCACTTCTTTCTTTGGGCCATACTATCCCCTGGATGGTCAGTTTCGAAACTCGTCTGAAATGTTAGGAGACAAGGCAAGTGAGGGGCCTGTGTACACCCCGCCCCTGCACTGGCCCAGGGCACGTGCTCAGGAGCCAGTCACATGGATGTGCCCTACCGCACCCCTCTCTACAGGCAGCACCCAGGGTGTAGATGGCCAGAGGGCCAAAGGCATGTCTTGTGTGCATTTGTGATAGAAAAGTAGAATTAAAATGCCTAACAGTCTGCAACTTATTTTTTTTAGCGTAATAATCATTGAACTGCTCTACAGATCACTAGATAAAGAGCTTTTTCTTTTAACTTACTTTATGCATATATGCACACATAATCAGTGAGATTGTATCTTCTATAGTTTTTTTTTTTCCCTCTATCCTTGCAGAAAGCAAATGCAAAGTGTCCATCCTGGCCTTGCGGGTGGGAGGACCAGATTCCTCCATGAACATGAACCTGCCCTGGCTGGCTAAGGAGCACCCCACTCAACCTTTAGCCTATGCCCCTGAGGCCCCACCATTTTGCCCTCCCCTTGGTATTCAGCATAACCTTGGAATCATCTCAGCCACACTGCTGGGAGTTCCTGCTCATTCCAAGTTTTTCCCTGGGTCTCCCAATCTCTTTAAACTCCTGCCCCTCACATGGACTTTTGGGGGCATCTGCTTCCCACGTGCTGCTGGTAGCCACTTTTGGAGTTGTGGGCTGAATGACATGCCCACCAGGGTTCCAAATGAGCAGCTATCTGTTCAACTGTTTACTTTCCTGTAAGCTCGCCTAGTAATTCTTACAGTTACACTGAATCCAAGTGTGTCATCTTCTTTTACCAGTTCCACAAAGTAGATGTCACTGGCTTTAGTTCCTGAATGTTCTGGAGAAGAACCAGGACCCTGCATCAAAAAAACCAAAATAAAGATGGCATGAGGCACTTGGCCTGCATAGACAGTGGCACCTCTTAACACTCATCTGCTCTCAGCAGCTGGCAGCTTGAGACCAGCTAGCGGGCAAGAACGTGAGACAGACCTGACTGTCCACACAGCACCCTTGGCAGCAATCAGTGCTATTCTAAGTAACAATTATCATTAATGACTAAGGACACTCGAGTTTCAGACCCTGAAGCCTGTGACCTCGGCTTAGCCTCTTCCATTTTACATTCTTCTGAACAGCCATACATTCATTTATTTCCATTTTGCACTTGAGAAAGCTGAGATGCATTTCCCCCTTCCACCACCAAAAGGCATAAAGGGCAAAAAACGATTTGGCGCCAGCACTGTTAGGCTCCATGGTCTATTCTCCCTCCTCCAAATTCTAGAGAGGCAACTAAGGGGATGATTACCTTTAATGGCAGAAAGGTGGGCTGAGGTCCCAACCTGGGTATTAAGCTCTGAGTCCCAGCCATTTCAAGTTCTTCACTGTTTCTCTCATCGTCTTGTGTGTGTGACAGAAAACTTCCCTGGTGCCTACTGCTTAGGCTGTCTGTGGAGAAGATCCCAGAGTTGGCTGTGCTAACCTTCTCCTTGTTTGAGAGATTATCACAAACACCTATAAAAACAAGCCAAGAAGAAGTCAACAACTTGGAAAGGTTGGCATCTCAGTGGTATCTCAACATAGGGTGCAGGGCTTTCTTCCAATGACTGAGACCTTTTATAGCTGCTAGGAATGATGTGTGTTGCATTTCATGATGGATGTTGCATGTAGAATAGAGGGATGATTCTGGATGTGATTTGAAACTTAAATAGAATTTTGCAATACAACTATGGACAGGACAATGGAGAGTTAATCATGCCAGATCTCCCTTATTAATCTCTGGCAGTGTGATGGGCACCATACATACACGACATACACAAATACACACACACATATGCAAGCACACACGCGCCTTTATCATTCAACATGTCCACCAGGGAGGTGTCATCTCTATTCAAAAATGAGAAGGCATTGTCAAAAAATTTAAGATGTTTGACCAAGTTTCCATAACCAGCAATTGGTGGTGCTCGCAAGCCCAGTCTCTTCTATGGACCCTGCTGAGAACATCTGTAATCCCCAAAGTAAAACACACCACTGCCCTCACTCCAGCCTAGCCAGACAGAAATTCATGAGGTCAAGACTGATCCAGCATCACCATGGAAACATCTGGTAATGGAGGCAGTTGTGTGAAGAACCTCAACTTCGATGAGGCGGTGTTACCAGTAAGTCATTGCAGCCCTAGGGTAAGAGGACAAGTTATCCACGGCACTGTGGAAAATCTGCCCTCTAATATCCTAATGCAGGACTATGCTTTGACCTGGAAGACTCTAAGTGTTAATATCTGACACCTCCCCATCACAGTGGGCCATTCTTGAGTAACACTATATTGAGCCCAAATTAGTTGCACTATATTTCCTGATAAAAAAAGAGAATGATTTTATTTCTCCTTTTCTTCCTATGAAAAGTGTGGAGGGGAATCCAAGGAGAGTAAAATATTAAGGAAAGAACAGTGATTACTTCGGGAAATCCCACAGAGAAAGTGAGCTGGAGCTTGGTGTTGGAAGTTCTAGGCCAGAACCCTGGGTCAACTCCAACCACGGATGAAAGGTCCTGACTAAAGTCCAGCTTTGCTATAACACCCTTACTCCCCCTCTTCCTTCACGACCTCTGATCCAGGGACAACTGTAACACTTGGGGAAGTCATCTATTGGGGATGGTGTACAGATGTCCAGGAAGGATTGTGTGCATGGCTTCCAGAGGGCAAGGCAAATGGAATATCTACAGTTAGGTCCTGGAAAATGCTGGTTGTGATATGAAGGATTTGTGTACATAAGGGGAAATTGTACAATCCTCCTGGAGTGAGTATAAATCCCATGAGCCTGAATTTGCAGGCAGTCAGCTGTGAAATTACAAGATCGTCCAAGCAAAATGCAGTAATGCTCTCAGGTAACTCAGAGGGAATGTTAGCCTCCCCCATTGCCTCCACCAGTCCCCTCCAAATCTGCCCCAAATAAGCCTATTTTTCTTTGCTATAAGTGATTGTTATTTCCCTACTACTTATCTAAAGGAATAAAAGCATGCTGGGAGAAAAAAAAAGTTACCTTTAGCTGATCTCTAACATGCATGCCAAGTAAGAACAGCTTCAAGAACAGCTCCCCAATGTCCTTCCCACACCTGGGCTCCACCTAGGTAGAAATCCTGGAACAATCACTTTCTGTACTGCCTTCAGTAACAAAAAGAATGTCCTTTTTGTCATGCAAGAGGAGTGGACCAAAAAAGTTCAATGGGTGTATTGACCATGTCTAGTGAGGGATACTGTAGGCTGCTCCCATTCATCAAGACAAGCTCCAGTCGAGTTCATTCTGCCCCTGAAATTGCAGGGCTGACTGATTTGTGCCACTGCATTGCTTCTTTGTAAGCCAAGAGGAAAGCAGTGCAGAAGACCTGCATGGGCTGAAAGATCCATACCCCCTGGTAGTAATGTACTGATAATACATTACTTCTGAAAGCCGGCTAAGACATACCTTTCGACTGACAGATGATTAATTCTATGTTGTCTGACGAATTTTGAATCATTCTAACAGCCATGTCGAATGTAAAACCCTCCAGACTGATGTGATTCAAGGCTAGTATCTGCCCTCCTGAAAAAATTAAAGTTCTCAGTATCTTCAAGTCAGAGCCAGTCCTTAAAGTGGCACGTCATTTAAAAAAACACATACCTGGGCCCTCCCTGGTGGCGCAGCGGGTTAAAGCACAGCACTGAGAATCTAAAGCCACTTCCTCATGAGTTCGATTCCCGCCTGCCCCGGAGGCGACCACATGGCGTGGCAGACCTCTCCTGACCCGCCCGCTGCTCCCCTCAGCAGTGTACTTCGTCGATCTGCCTGTTCTGATCCCCGCTCTGTCTCTGGTGAATTCTCTCACCCTCCGCATCTTTGGCCTGTACCCCAGTTCTGTACAAATAAATAAATAAATCTTTAAAAAAAAAAAAAAACACATACCTGGTTTGATCTTTCTGGTTTTTTCAGCTGGTCCCCCAGGTATAATGGAAGATATAAAGATGCCAGGATAATCTTTGCCTACATCTTCACCCTCATTAATGACAAAGCCTGTAATATTTAGTAATATGATGCTTAATGATTTTGTAGCTTAGAGAGGTTAGTTTATTTGCTTGAGGTCACACAGCTACCAACTGGCTTGTATTAGGTACCTATGTCCTCTGAACTCAAGCAGCTCTTTCTACTCATCCCTGACCCATGGAGAAAAGTGAATCAACCCCTGTCAGTAAGCACGGCTAGAGCTGGAGCCTCTGCCCATCTATATGCACCTGATTTTGCCCCAGTAGCTAATCAGAGATAGGAAAGAGATGTTTTTTAAGCGATGTCTCCTTGTTCCTAAAGGTCTAAAGTGTTAATGTGATTAGTAATAAGAGGTAAAAAAATGATGTGCTGTTCCTCCCCATCATTAAGAATCTAAATATACTAGAGAAAGGTTGTTACCTGGTACTACGATATTGTAAGTTTTCTTAAAAACAAGTTATATTTTCATGACAGATACCCTCAAGCCTTAATAGGCCAGGAAGGAAAACTTTGACCTAGAAATGGTCACTGAAATATAGTCAACTGGGAGAGGAAAGGCTGGATGGAGGAGTGGAAAGGCAAGAGGGAAGCTGGCTCACACTTCCCTGCTGCCCAGAGGGAGAAACTAGGCACCTGCTGGGAGCATCCTTACCAAAGCCATGACTTGCATCCCGGCTCAGAGTCACTTGCACTATTTCTTGACTGGCTTTAGCTGAAAAGCTCTTCTTGCTGTTGTTTTGTGACCCTAAGGTGGCAACAAAGACCCACACTGCATTTCTCCAACCCTAGGAGTATCTCTATCATTCTCTCTCTCACACACACATACACAGAATAGATTACTGAAGACATACGTCTCATGAGCCTCACTGCATCAATGCTGGTCAAGTTTGAGGTAAACAGAAGCAGGGGCCTTGGGATTTACTTGTTCCATACATCTCACTATAGCTTTTTTTTTTTTTTTTTTTTGCATTGGTCTTGAGACAAGACAGAATTTGAGAAGAAATGTACTTGCTGGCGGCTGTGCTCTAAAATTAGAGCACATAGCCAGCAAGTCTTCCCCCCCACCCCAGACTTCTAATTGTCAGAGGGTGATAATGCCCACAGTGGCCCAGCATATGTGCCCTGCAGTGCTTCCCCCAGCTTGGGTCTTGTAGGAGACCCAAAAAGAGCCCTGAGTTTGTTCTGAGAGGCCTGGAATCCTGGGTGGGGCACCCACAGAGAGCCTGGGGGGAACCCCCCAAGTGGTGACCATCCATTTAAATGTTTTCCGTGTTTCTGCTGCCCCAGGGACCATGGCCAAACCTGGCAGACAGCTCATGAGAACTAGCTGCCCAGATTCAATTCACAGGCTTAATGCTCATTAAGTATAAATATTTCCTCCAGTTCTGGAATCTCTTTACATTCCATTGGGGACTTGCCTGGAGGATGTGGCAGAAGGCAATGCCGCCTACTCCACATATGTTTTCTGATATGCTGGAGGTGATATTCTGGGACTGCAAGAAGAGTTGTGACTAAACTGTACGATGCATTTTTTTCAACCATATCACTTCACAGCAGGCTCTTCATACTGTCTCTCCCTACCAGCTCTAACACATTTCAGGTCTATAGCCAAAGGTAGGTTACAAGTACTCTTCCTGACCACAGGAAAATTGGAAAATAATTTGAAAAACAAAAAGACTAAACATGATTGGGGAAGCAAATGAAGAGATAGCAAAAGATTCAAAGCAAGTGTCGCTTATAAGGTTTCCTTGACCCCAGACCTGGCCCCTGGCCTGGCTCATACCCATGTGCACATTCTGAGCAGGTGGCCCAGAGATGGGGTCACAAGTCTTTGGCTTCTGGATCAAACAGGTGCTCTCCAACTGCTCCAGGCCAATGCAGGGGCTGTGGGGAAAGAAGACAAGATGACATAAGATGGCCTAGAGGGAACTTTCTAGCATTTCTGGATGTGATTGGTGGCCTGCGGAAGGCAAGCCTGTGCCAGATCAGCCAGCTGATCCACAAACAGACCCCATCAAAGGCCTATCTGGTTATCAGAGTGTGCTGGGAAGAAGGCCTTTGGGGTCTTTCTGCTTTAGAAGGGACTCTAGAGTCATCCAGCCTCCTGTAAATCTCCCACTACTTCAGCTTTGGGTTGGATAGGCAGCCCTTCATAACCTCCCTTACCAAACCATGAAATAAGAATAATTTCCTATTTCCCAGGCTTGTCTTAACAGCGTCTACCCTCTTGTCCTTCAGGTGTAAATTCTGGAAGGCCTTCCGCACACCTGTCATTCAAACTGAGCCCAGGTTGCCCACGACAGCTACTTCAATGAAAAAGAAGGCGCTTTTATTTCTACTTTTCCTTCTTTCCAACCTCATTCTCTCTGCTCCCTCCTGCTTCCTGGAATCACCTCCATAAAAATCACCTGCATCCAAGTCATTGTCTCAGGCCTGCTACTGAGTTCAGCTGGGTTCAGCTGTTTCACGTAGGGTTACTGATAACCTCTGAAGTGAGTGATAAAGCCTATGAAAATTTGCTGTTCATAAACTAAGCTTAGAGTAGTGCCAATTTACTGAGGACTTTCACTTTCCTATGGAGAAGACTGGCTGCCACTGCACCTGTCCCCCTGCAAATCATTAGAAGCCCCGCCAGCCGCAAGAGGGGCACCTTGCAGTCAACACATTCTCAAGGTGGCCTTTATTCAGTCACAGTGCCTTTTGGATTTTAAACTAGAAAGTGCTATGAAGGACTACCAGTTTGAGTGACAGATTAAAAATGGTCACAAATGCCGACACTCCTACATCAAAAGGAAGGGACTATTTCTGTTACATGTGAGTCTTTGCTGGCTTGAGATTGCTTAGACCAAAAGACTGTAGCAGAAGTGATGCTGTGCCAGCTCTAGGTCTTGCCTTTAGGACTGGCAGCCTGGTCATGGGCCACTGCAGCCTGAGCTGCCATATAGAAATGCTTCCTTGCTGAGGGAAGCACATGCAGGGAGTGTGAGACGACACAGTGGTTGCAAAGGATGCAGCAGAGCTCATGGCCCCAGCCATCCCCACGAGGGGGCCATGTGTGAGTAATGTTACTGTGGAGCTTCCAGATAAATCCTGAATAGCACCGAGCAACTCAGTCAATTCCATGTAAAGCAGAAGAGTCCCCCAATTACCCCCTGCCTGAATTTCTAACCATAAAATTGTGAAATGGGATTACAAAATGATTGCTTTAAGCACTTTGGAGTAATTTTTTTTTACCTAGCGAGAGACAGACTGTTTTGCTTCAATATTATTGATTTAGTTTGCAATACATGGTAAAGCATATTTGCATCAACAGAATTTGGGGCAATAATTTCCTAAGAAATACTTTAAGATATAATACATATGTACATATTATATATATATATATACATATATATACATACATATATATACATATATATAATGAATCATGTCTACCCTCTTGCTGAAGCAGATGTATTTGTCTTCAAAACAGCTCCTTCAGCAACCTTCACTGGTCACGCGCTCCCATGAATCTGTGCTATTTATACAACTTGCAATGTAAGTGTAATCCAACTTCCAGGCTATTTTTACACTGTATGGATCATTGTGTTAAAAAGTAAAGTTGTGTTTATAAGCTCATTATTTTCACTTATAAATTAAATTGCAAGCGCTCCATCAATAGAAAAAGTAGCACAAAATAGAGGTCAGAGTCTGTTGTAAGTTCAAATCCCAAACTCCATTTCTCCCCCTGATGAATGGAGAAAACTAGAACTTCACAGGGTTGTACTGGTTAAATCAGTGCTTAGTACAGTCTCTGGCATATGATAAGACTAAGTAGGCTTTATTACAACTTGCTTATTTAGTCTTGTTCCATTCTGAACACCTTTCTCTACCTAAAGATAGAAGCAACGGAGTAGGAGGCCAGCATATCTTCCCTATGGTGTCTGGCATAGACTTTGGTCATATCTGGCCTTCAGGAAATCTCTGGGAACTTAGTTGATGGCTACCCAATGAATGTAAAGTGCCCTGAGACATTTGACCTCGTTTGAACAATTTCTTCAGGTGCAGACTGCTCCAGAGCACTTGGTGGTTGGGACTCTGAGAATAGATGGGCCCAACCCACCTGCTTCTCATTCCTTCTGCCACTGTCTCCTTGCCAGTTCGCATGCTATCCAGTGATGTGCACAGCAGGCCTTCTGTGGTGTCCTTCAACCTGGGTTCAAACAGTGCCTTTTCTCTACATGACAGTCTCTGGATCCAAGAGAGAGGCTTGGACTGAGCCAGCTGTGCAAGATTCAAATTGGCCATTTGCATACACTTATCATAGTCTGAAATTTAGAAGAGAGATAAGCATAAATACATGCAAGAATGATGCTGGTCTCATTATTCCTGTGGCAACCAGCACCACAGGCCCAGTTTCTATTCTCACTTGGCCTTTTCTGCTTTTTTTCCTCCTACCTCCTGAAGATTTTGTGATTAGCCCTGAGAATGCAGGTGTTCCTAATTAGCACTCACTAGTGAAAGAAACCTCAGAAACATTACTTGTGTGAGGTGCTCTCTGTAGCTGGCAGGGTTCTGGACCAAGGTTCCAATGGTGCTGCCTGGAGCATTCAGGGGAATGTCATGGCACCAGCAGAGACCTGGGTAAAATTCACTGCCACCCTCCACTCTGCCTTTACAAAACTGTCCTCATCAAAATGTCAAGTGTACTCATTTATTTTAAAGTTATCTATTTATGCATATAAGAACCAGGGAACCAGAGGTGTGGGGGTGTGCTGTGAGGGGTTTCACCAGAGACAGGATGGGGGGAACAGGCAGATCTACTGAAATACATTGCTGAGGGGAGCAGCAGGTGAGACAGGAGAGGTCTGCTGCACCATATGGGTCAGCTCCCTTGCCAGGGATCAAGCTTGTGCTTCGGTGACTGTGGATAGCTCATAGTGTTGTGCCTTAAACCCTTGCGCCATCAAGGAGACCTCAAGAGTGCTCATTTGTGACTGACAAGAGGGGGCCATGGATAATACTAATTTGGGTTTTTCCCCAATTTTCCTCTCTTAAAAACATTTTTATTATTATGTAAAAAGGAAACTATCTTCACAAACATTGTTGTAACAAGTGGGTCTCCCAATTATCTGGGCTTCCAAATGAGGCACTCCCTGTGGAATATCATTTTTAACTATAAATCTTAGTTTCCCTGGCAGTCATCTTTAAGCTAAGATCTGGTTCTCTGAAATATATACACTTTTCAGATGTGTTGTTTCCCAGATTTAATACTCCTTCTTTCCTTTCATGCAGGAGGATATAATAAGTGACTCCAATGAAGTCCCTAACTTGAAACCATGGACTTACTATTTCACTATTCATTTTGTTCATAGGAAACTGGGATTATATGGATAGATCCCTTACATTAGCTAGGCTTATACAAAGTACTTTGTATTTTGAAAAGGGAAAATGAGGATTGAGTCTGACCATCTGCTCCCTGCTATAGCCAAGAAAGAAAGAATGCTTGGGTACATGGCATTTATTGTAGCTTCCAGGGTGTGCATGTGTGTGTGTGTTTGTGTGTGTGTGTGTGTGTGTGTGTGTGTGAGAGAGAGAGAGAGAGAGAGTGAGAGAGAGAGAGAGAGAAATGCTTTCTCTGTGAGGGTGTCCTTAGGCAAACCCCACACCCTTCCTACAATGGTGACTGGTTCAGTTCCAGGAATGTGCCCACTGAAAAATAGCCTTTAAAACATACTTTGCTGAGAATTTTCTCCGTCTATGAAATCTGTCTCTTTGGTACCATCGCTCACATGTGGTGAGCAAGAAAGAGCAGAGGAATAGAAGCAATTTGACTATGACCTGCAGCTTTTGCACAGGTTGCATGGTATCTTCTCCCAGATTGGAAATGGTCTGCTAATCACTTACTAGCCCTGGAATCTTGAGCAAAACAGTCTCTTGGTCTCAAAGTTTTCTCAGATGTGTTGTTTCCCAGACACATAGCAACCAGATTAACGGCACAAATAGTTCATATTTGCTGATGCTTATCATGTGCTAGGCACAGTGGTAATGTGCTTTCTGCTTTGCTTCATTTAATCTTCACAATAACCCTGTGGGGTAAATATCAGTAGACCCATTTTATGGATGAGAAAACTTTGAGACCAAGAGAGTATTTTGCTCAAGATTCCAGGGCTAGTAAGTGGTTAGCAGGACTCACACTCAAGTCACTTGATTTCACAGTCCACAGCAGGAAATGCAGTTGCTGGGGATTTGGAGACAAAAATAGAAGTTCAAGAGAGGCAGGCCCAGTATTCTCACCCCCAGGACTCAAAGGGACAGTGACCTGGGGCTTAATCAAGTAGACAGTAATACCCACAGGGAGATAGATGTTCTAGAGAGAGATGTTGGTGGCAGTGTCTCAACTCAGAAAGGTTTAGCAGGTTTAAAGGAAACCCTTGTACAAAGGGTGGGAAGGGACTGTGCCCTAGGGGAGGGGCTTATGCAAAGTGCAGAGGAGTGAGAACCCTCCTGGGTTCCAGACAGGGCTTTATCTCAAGTAAGTCAGAGAGCATGAGGGCACTGCAGAGGAAGCCTCAATAACTGGACAAGTGCTACCTGGGGAGGTCAAGAATGAGATCATGAATTGGCACTTGCATCAGACACTCAGGATGAAGTGGGAGCTGGTGGAGCTGGTAGAAGGGCCATAATCACTACCAGGCCTCAGTTTAGTGGGGTTTGATTGAGTAGACAAACAGGGTAGGAAGAATGATTGGTAGAAGAGGGCTAAGAGTTGGTAACCTTAAGGAGGTGGAAGGAAGAGTGGCAAGAGTGGCAAAGGATGTCCCAAAGCCATGGACACCCCAGAGATAAAAAGGTTTCTTTCCACTGACCATGGGTTACTCACAATATGACTGTGGCACCAGGGAAGTTGCTGACAAATGTCTGAATCCATTTGGATGACAAGGGATAAAATCTAAGTCAGTTACAGTGATTCAAGAGCATAGAAGTAACCTGGAGCCAAGAACCATGAAAAAAAAATGGATAAGGAGCCAGAGTGAGAGGCTGGCCGCTCTCTGCACATCTGTGATCTTACATTCATAAGCTCATGGAAAGGGAGAGCATCGCTGCAGCCCCTGCCACCCATCTGGAAGGGCTGAGAAAAAACCCGTGGACCCTATTCTGCAATGCCTGACTTAGTCCTCACATTATGCACTTGTAAAAGCTCAGTGATTTTCCTCTCTTTCCAGGGAACCAAATATAACTATAAATTGAATTGTTGGGACAATTCACAGAAGGATGACTAAGAAACATTTGGAAAATTTTCAGCTTCTAAACAATCAAAGTTGCCATGTGAAATTAACAGTGCAAAATGCTTTTTAACTATCAAATGAACAAGGATAAACATGATAATAACTATTCCAGAAAAGATACAACCAAATAGGCAGGATAATAATGGACATAGGTATAGAACTCAGGAATACTTTCCCAAGATCTATCACAAAGAAATAAAACAAGATATAGAGGAAAGACATTTCTTCTAATGATGTTTATTATTTATATATTGAATAATTAAAGCCAAATTTAAAAATAGAGGAGTGACTGAATGATTGTATTTCCACACTTAATCATCTATTTATTCATTCAAAAAATATTAACCAGCTCCTACTTGGTACACATCTGTTTCATGCTGGAGCTATAAAGGCCATGGGGCATGCCCTGTATTCTGTAGAGTAGAGGCAGACATACCTACAAATAAAAGTGGCAGAATACTAAGATTAGAGAATACAGTTCACACCGAAGAGGGAGTGGTCGCACTATCTGTGAAGAGAGTAGAGGGCAGCCTCCTCTTCAGACTTGAACTTAATCTTAGAGAATCAGGCTTATCTTGGTCTGAGCTTTGAAGGGGGAACGGAACAGCATTGCAGGGAGAGACCATGCTGAGCACACAACTTCTCCCCCACCCCCCAGAATGAGACATTCTCATGTGGTCATAAGCCTGTCAGCCTGCTTGCAGTGTAGCTGGAGAACAGTGGTAAGAGATCAGTAACGGCTGGGGCCAGAATGGGAAGAGTCTGATATGTCATCCTAGGGTGTCTGAGCTTGCCCCAGCAGAGAGACAGTACAGAGCCACTGACAAATTTTCAATATAGAAGAAAATGATGGGGTTGATCCTTTCTGAAGGTCACTTTGAAAGTTGAGAAAAGGACAAAAGAAATGACATGGATCCCAGTAGAAAGCCTTGGAGAACAGAGAGCACCTGATGACAGGTGTTGTAGGAAGAGAGGATGCAGGTCCACAGCCTCCCAGTTTCCTACAGGGTGGTTGAGTGGTCTCACCTGAACAAGGCAAAGATCATGGTAGAGGGCATAGTATAGGAGGATGAGATCAAACGTAGATACAGTGAGTTTAAAGATGCTGTGAATTTGAAATGGCCAGTTCTCAGTAAGTTTAATCATTGAAAATGGGGGTCTGCAGAGAGTATTTCTCATATGAGATTTTTTTTAAAGCAAGGAAAGATTGTCCCATTTTTCAAATGGTCAGCATGAAAAGATGTTCAGCCTCAGTAATCATCAGGGAAATGCAAATCAAGACCATAGTGAGATAACACCTCACACTTAATGGAATGACTACCATCAGAAAACAAACAAATAAAACAAATTGCTGGTGAAGATGTCTAGAAGAGGAAGCCTTTTGTGCACTGCTGATGGAAACCGGTACAACCAGCATGGAAAACCAGATGGTGGTTTCTCAAAAAATTAAGAATGGTTATTAGATGTCTATACAATGATGAACCTTAAAGGTTCTTGTGAGTTATCCAAAAAGGATAATCACTCAGTTTTTACTTTTGGGATTTTTAAAGAGCCAAATAAAAAATATCTAATTATTTAAAAATTAAAGTAAAAATACAGTATGACCCAGCAATCTTCCTTATGGATACATACCCAAAGAAATGAAAGCACTAACCCAAGGAGAAATTGCATCATTCAGCATTATTCACAACAGTCAAGACATAGAAATAACCTAAGTGTTAATCAACAGATGAATGGAGAAAGAAAAAGTGCTATACAACCATGTATCACTGGAAGGTGTTCTGAGAAATTCATTGTTGGGTCATTTTGTACCTGTGTAAGTGTCATAGACTGTAATTATACAAACCTAGATAGCATAGTCTACTACACACCTAGGCTATATGGATATAGTCTACTGAGGCTGCTCTCATACTCTGGTCCAAGACTTCCCAAATGTTATAATGGAACATTAGTCAGCCATAAAAAGAAGAAAATCCTGCCGTTTGTAACATGGCTGGTCCTTGAAGGAATTATGCTATGTGAAATTATACAGAGAATGAAAACTAGTGTATATCCTCATTACATGCAAAATCTAAAAAGCTCAACTCATAGAAATATAAAATAGAATGCTGATTACCAGGAGCTGGAACTGAGAGACACAGGCACATGTTGATCAAAGAGTATAAAAAATGATGAATATGTCTTGGCAACCAAACGTCCATCATGGTGACCATAGTTAACAACGGTGTATTATGTAATTGGAAGTTACTAAAACAGCTTAAATGCTTTCAACACACACACAGTTACTATGTAAGGGGATAGAAGTAATACTACCTTGGGGTCATCATTTTATAATATGCAGATTTATCATAGCATCACATTCCACGTTTTATATATAAAAGTTTACATGTAAAGTTCTATGTAAAAAACTAACTTGTTTAATGTCAATAATATCTCAATAAAGTTGGAGTATAAAATAGCAGCCACCCAGCCAGAAAAAGCTGTCCAAAGTAATCTTTTTAATTGCAAATGTTAAGAGTTCTGAAAACTCCTATGATAGTAGAATTTGTAGTTTAATATGAGCAAAACAGACTTAGAAGGACTAATTTTACCGTGAGCCTGTGGGGTCTTTATAAATATTTAATATTAACTGATATCAGGCAATGAAAGCAGTATTGGTGATGTTTCATACTGCATCTCAGCAATATCAGGTAAGACTTAATTAATTCACATTTATTATCTCCAGCTCCCTGGAAACACTAATGAACTGCCACTCTGCTATGCCAGTGTAATATTTATATATTTATTTGGTTTTGCTGCCAATAATATGCCACTTTTATTTTCTGTGTTTGATTATGCATCCAAATGCTTAGTGATTTTGTTTCCCAGCTGACCCCTTGTCCAGGACACCAGGACCTGGTAACATAGCTGGCATAGCACAAAACCCCATGAGTAGAAACAGCCATGATTACTCACACTGAACAATGAACATCAATTAAGGAGGCAGAAACATTACACTCATTATCTCATTGCAGCACAGAACAAACTACTAGGGGCCAGTGTTCTCCACTGAGGACACTGAGGAAAATGAGTTGCTCAAAGTCACATGACTATTAAGTAGTGTTGCCTTGAGTCTATTGGTCTCTTGGGGCCACATTCCAGACCAGCAGTTATCAAATGTTTATTTGCATCCAAGTCACCTGTGTTCTTTTCCAAATGTGGGCACAGATTCAGTAGATATGCGGTGGGTCCGAGAATCTGTATTTCTACCAAACACCTAAGTGATATTCATTCTGAGAACCATCTATGGATGTGAATGGTAAAACCACTATGTCATTTACTGTTCCCTTTATAGTCAAAGAAGAAACAATGTTTAGAGAGTAACCACACAGGTTGTCAAAGTTAGTACTCAAAGTCAAATCCCCAGCCCTTAAGTTTTGGCAGATATTGTGAGGGTGAAGTATATAGATTCTAGGTTCAGAGCTAAAGGTTGAAATCTCAAGGCTTCCAACAACCTGGATACTTAACTTCCCATGCCTCAGATTGCTCATCCCAATAATGCTGCGAGTGCATCACAGGGCTGCCTGACAAGTGCAGTTTGAGCAAAGAATATATTATAAGCATAAGTGAGATGACTCTATATATAAAGACTTAACATATCACCTGGAGAAAGCACTAACAATAGTAAATAATTGCATAGCACTTCCTAAAAATACACTTAGCATTAGCTAGTCTTCCATGATGTGTGCTCACACTTTTAACAATTGTATCTTTGCTTCATATATCAATAATACTGTGGAAAGTTTGATAAATACTTAAAAATGTACAGAAAATAGTCATGTCTCCATACTTAATTCACAATGGAACGAACAAGTAACACTGTGGTGCAGTTTATATCCATAATCAACCAAATTTTAGTATTATGTTGTCTGTTTTCATGCTACCCAATATAGTAGGCATATGTGACCACTCACATTTGAATATAAATTCATTAAAATTAAAAATTTAACTCTTGTCTTGCAAACTTTCAAATGCTCAATAGGTACACCCCAGTAGTACCTCCATCACAGAAAGTTCTATCAGATAGTACTAGATATGGTCTCATATCTTCATTTTCACACTTAGCAACACATCATGCATTTTCATATGTCATCACTCTCCAAATACTGATTTTAATGTCTAAATTACATAGATGAGCCATGATGTATTTAGCTAGTCTTCTGTTTTTAGATATTTAAGTTGCTTCCAAAAGTTTGTTATAAATAATGTTCTAGTGAACACCCATGAGCATAAAAGTCTGTGTGCTTCTATATTTATTATCTTTGGATAAGTATCTATCTACAAGTAATTTATAGGACCAAAAGGACATGGATTTTTTTTTTAAGATTTATTTATTTGTTCATACAGAACTGGGGTACAGGCCAGAGGCTCAGGGGCAGCAAGAGGCTTCACCAGAGACAGAGCAGGGAGCAGAACAGGCAGATCTACGAAGTACACTGCTGATGGGAGCAGCGGGCGGGTCAGGAGAGGTCTGCCATACCATGTGGTCACCTCCCAGGCAGGTGGGAATCGAACTCATGCAGAAGTGGCTTTAGCTTCTCAGTGCTGTGCTTTAACCCACTGTGCCACCAGGAGGGCCAGGACATGGATTTTTTTTTTTAAAGGCTTTTGATAAATATTCCTGACTGCACTGTGTCAATTTGCCGCCCCCATGTTATTTATTTAAGCATTTACAGTCTAAGTAAACATATTTTTTAAGAGCATTTTTTTAGTTATTCAAGAGATTCAAAACTTTTTAGAGTTTTCTGGGTCAACTGCATTAATTTATACAAACTATTTTGTGAAATACAAACTGGCCAAACTAAAGCTTGAGAGTATAGTGTCTACTTACCAGTTGCAACTTGTGGAGAGCTCGTCTGAGCATTAAACTGGTGTTGTGCAGAACAGAGACCCAGTAAATATTTACAAGTGTTGGCAGAATCCGTGACAAATGAGTGCTTTTTTCCTGTGATGCTGCTTGTGATGGTGAGCTTCTTTCGCTGAAGGGGCAAGCACAGGCTTTAATATATTGATTATCTTTACCCATCCACTGAAGCACAGCAGTACTGAGAGCAATCAAATACTGGCGTCCTCAGTTCAGAATAGCAGTGAACTTGGCATCCAGAATATAAAACAGATGTTTGAAGATGGCCCAATAATTTTTCCTAAATTTAAGAAAATCCCTCATTTTATGTTTTTGTTCCTTCATAAATCAAATGTTTATCAGGCAATTGGTATCTGCCAAAGAGTGTGATTGGTGAAACAATATGAAATGAGTAAAGTGCACATGACCTTCAGCAAGAGTGATACAACCCTTAATGTGCATTGTGAAAGACTATTAAATATAGAGTTTTTACTGTACAAGACTCGAGACAGTTACAGGTATAATCTCAGCTGGCCAAGTTTTAAGAGTGATAAAGCACTGTATTTATTTCACATTTCTTGCTATTATGTGCCAGTCTCTGTTCCAAGTGTTTTCTGGTATTAATTCATTTTATCCTAAAAGCTGTAGAATGAGGGTGTCCTATCACTATTCTTAGATGAGAAAAAAGACCAATAGTCCTCAGAATGCAGAGGAATTAAGGTCACATCACAAGAAATGCTTCCTCATATTCCTGAACAGAAAGTGGTATTTGTATATAACTCAATGGTATTATCTAAAAATGATTATCTATCTGAGGTTATATTTATTCCATGAGCTCCATGGAAAAAATTCATAATAGATTGCAGTAAAGTAATAGAGATAATATGAAATATGACTATTTCCAAATAATATTTTTATCTTAGCTATTCTAGTGCTTTCAATAACTCTAAGCTAAAGTTACTCCCATAAAGATAACTCTACAAACACAGGATTTATGCTTGAAAGGACTCCCTATAACTCCTGATCCTCTTTAATCCTGATCCTTTTTTAATTCATGATAATCACAATTTCTAAAAAATTCCAATCACACAAGTCAGACATTAACAAAAGGCAGATAATTATTCAATGCTTTTCCACTGAAAAGTGCCTTTTTTAACCTAATTTTAAATAATTTGATCACTCTAAATATTCTTTTATTAACAAAAGTAGTTTTGAACCTCTTAACACTAATGTGAATGAACTTTGAATCCAATTGAATTATATACCACATTTAGCATTCTTTAAAACAATGTATTTTCTCAAACATTCATAGTTGCTACTCTGGTAGACATAAAAATTCTTCCTTAGTATTTAAATTATAATGATGCATAAATTTTACTTATCTTATTCTCTTATCCATAATTTTCCAAAAACCAGTATTTTCTTAAAATCTATACAGTTTGTCAATACACATCTATATGTTTTCATGGAGTCTTGATAATTTTAAGTTCTCTCAGGTATTCAAAAAAATGGGTAAGTCAATTTTAAAAAAAACTAATAACTACACTTTAACAAATCTGAAGAGAGAATGATACACACACACAAACACACCAATCTTTCAGGCTGCTCACATAACCCTAGCCAAGCTCTCCTTTTGGACACCAATGTGGAATTCTGATTGCATTTCTTGGCATGAAAACAGCTGTGATTGTCATGGCTTGGATTTTTTTCCCCATTTATTACCACTTTGATAACATCATTTAATTTGGGAAAAATCCTATCTGCAGGCAAACTTTCACATAGGTGAGCTGTTCTATGAATAAGATGATGCACAGCTTGAATCTCAGAGCTTTCAGCACAAATATGAAAAACTTATTTATGCCTCTGTTGTCGCTGTACAAACATATCTATCTGCCGCTTCCTTAACCTCAGGTTTGTTGCAAGCATAAGTTTACCATTTCCAAAGTTGTTTCGCTGTTGCTGTATCTGTTGTCAGGCTAGTTCATTGGCTTAGTTTGAAAATTCTTTGCAGAACAAGTTAAGGCAGCTAGAGCACCTGGGCCATTCCATGGGAGAGACCATGACAACATGTCCATGGGGTCTTATAAAGTGTGGAAAGTAAGATGTTTTCACCACAATCAGTTAAGACCAATGACTCTTCTTTCCACCCTGACTGTTCCCAATTCTCCTTACCACAGGTGGCGTGGGGTAGTATGGAAGCAGATACCACTAAGAGTTGAGATGGGGACACATTTGTGTAGATACAATGGGATTTATGTATGTGGGGTTTTGTCTTTTTTCTGCAACAATTTATTGTTAGTCATCTCAGAATATCCCTTCTATTGAATCAATTCACCCAAAGGTACAGGGCAATGGCCACATAAAATTGACTGTTTTCTACAATACCCTGTGCCAACAGGGAACAAGGTTTGAAAAGTACATAGCCACAGGCCAAACTACAGGAAATTTTTTCAATTGTCAGAAATAAAAAGCTGTAATTTAGTACTTGAACGCATCCAGTTAAGTGGAAACTCTGACTTATAAGTATTTTATAATTGTATAAACTGCCTTATCAACATACCACACAATATTCTTCTGTATCTGATGGGAATCACTCAAAATAGAATTGATTAGCTGTCTGGTTTCTGTTACATATAAACTTGTATGGTACTACAAAGAATAAGTATGTCTCCATGCAAAGCCACATGTTCTATGCATCTTATCAATAATAAAAACACCCTTCAATCAGCTAGAAGAAAGTCCATATTACATTTCCAATCTCTCTAGATAAAATGATATTATAAAAGAATCATCTTATGGAAAAGTAATCACAGTGTATGCCACCAAAATATGAAAAGAAAATGAAAATTATAGAGTTTTCAGGGAGTTTATTAACAAAAATATTCCTTGGGCACTTCTATGATTTTGCTGTATTTGTTCAGCTTTTTAAAATTCATAGTTGTGATTTCTTGTCTCATTCTCAATGAACATTCACTTTCCTAGCAGTTTCTATTAGGAACTTTGTATTCTGTTTGCTAAAGACCCTCTACCAAGCTGTAGCCTCCTTGCCTGTATGCATTTCCCTTTAGACACGTTAACTACTGCCAGTAACCAAGAACAACTACTAACATAGGTAGGTCATTCTCCACCAAATACTTTCTTGATTGAATAATCGGGATTGATGTCTCTGTCAAGACAGGCTGCTAAAGCATTTACAAACCATGTTCTTTGAAAATGGCATTTCCCTGTTTCCTTTGCGACTTCCCTGCAAGCTGGCAAGATCAATGATCTAAAATTGTTTGAAGCATTTTGGCTTCCCCTGTTAATTAGGCAATTCTGAAACCAGCTTCCTGAGCTCAGCCTTGTATTGCTTGCAGAGTTCCCCATTTTATGCTTGCAGAAGCATGAAGAGTTCAAATCATTTTCTGTGTAAGATTCCTGGTATATCACAAGCAGCTGGTGACACAACTTCATGTAGTGACCTTTCCATAAAAATAGACATTCATGCTGAGGAGGAGGATAGTTAGCAGAGCATGGAAATCCTAATTAATGACAAGGTTTTTATGCTCCTAAATTTGTCTTGTGAACCTGATGACTTTACAACTTTAATCAAGAAATTGTCCCTAGTGAAGGGAAAACAGATTATCTATAACAATTATGACAACTTAAATAGAAAGTATTTCCTTAAAGAGGCTGTTAAACTTTAAGGCTTCAAAAAATTCTATTTTTCAAAATTGCACTTGAAGTTATCTACATTTTTATAAATATTTTAAAGTAAATTGCATTAAAAATTTTGAATAATTAAGACAAAGAACATGGGAAATAATGCATTATTGTTGAACCAATTCAATAATTACAATTCTTCAAGTAATTGAATTAAAGTAATCAAAGTCATTAAAATTCTGAAAAATTCACAAGTTTAATTATAATTTACCTTTATACATGGTCAAATTATTTTGGAAAAAAGTCAATTTGCTCATATGAAATAATATTATTATTATTAATTACTTGTAGATATAAACATTCCTCCTTAAAGATAAACAATGCTCTATTATGAAATTCCATTACAAATCATACTGTAACAATATGTTAATTTCAACAGCCAAGATGAAAGCAACATTGAGAAAATGAATAAAACCAATTATGTTCTAGTTAGGAAACTGTCAGATAATGATCATTTAAAAGCTACAATTGAATTAGAAGGAAAATTCTTACAACAGAGACAAACAGGATCCTGAGATAAGGACATTGCAGAACTCAAGGGCAAAACTTTGCTGTCCCCATGACTGCTCAATAAAAGGTTAAACACACCTATGACGCCAGGCCCAGACACCTGCTGCCTTAAATGTTCTTGGCCCAGTTTTTATTACTAATTTTCCTCAGCTTGGGCATTCTTGAGCTATCCCTTTACGGTTTCTCAAATTGGCTGCTATAGAAGAAAAGAGTTGTAGGCTTTGAGACCAGACCGATTAAACTGGAGCTGCAGGCACCCAGCCTCCATGAGATGCTCACCTTGGAGCTGGTCACAAATGCTGCACAAACACTGAGCTGCAGCTCAGCAGTGCACAACTCACAATAACAAACAGACTTTTGCCAAGTGCATTTACTTCCCCAGACAATGAAGTTTAATTCCTTTCTTTTCAAATGCCAGTCCTAGAAGCTGAAACAGACCCTTAGCCCTGGCAGCACAGTCTGTCCTATGCCGAGAGAGGTCTCTCTAGAATGGTCTTTTCCCACTCTTTCACTAATCAATAAATACTGACTCCTTGCCTTCCCACACCAGTGTCTGTGGAGTCTTCTTTTTAATCTTGACCAGATGTTCTCAAGAGGTCCCCAGCTTTGGAACAGAGCTCCTCCATCCATCCCTCCAATTTCTAACAAGTGGGACATTGGAACAGTGTTTTATTTGTTCCCAGCTTATCCACCTGTGTTGTGAGAAAGTGTGATCAAACTGCAGGAACCCAGATCTTCTCCCTTGTACAGTAGCAAAATCATAAGAGAAAATGAAATAGAAAGAAAAACTAGGAAGAAATTCTGTTCATGGGCCACAAGATGAAAAACTTCATGAAATCACTGCTGAAAGAAGGGCATGCACACTGAGATGACCTACAGGACTGGCAGGTAGGCTAGCTACTCGGCTTCTGGAACAACACATATTTTTTAGTACCACATTTGTTGTAAGCAACGTAAAGAAGTTTTAATACCCATACAAGTGGTGTCCAAATATGATTTCCAATGTTGAAAATTTATAGGGATTTTCTTTGGTTTTTTAAAAAAGACTTTTTAATCTTCAATGGCTATCAAAGGTTTACAGTGTCCAGTGGCACACCAGTCCATGAAAAGTCAGGCCAGGTGCCCTAGCATGTTATATACCAAAGGGAAATTAGAATTCAAAGAAAATGTTCAAAACCTTACAAACTCCACTTCAACTACAGCAAGTTTTCCTCTTCTATCTCCCACTGACATAGTAGATTCTCAAAATTAAGAGAACTTTAACCTAGTTAGAAAGTATAGCCTTTTAAACTAATAACTGTTCCATAGAATTATAAGGCCAGGAGAGGAATGATAGGGAAGAAAATGGCCTGTGAGGTTCTCAGATTCCAAGCGGATTTCCAAATCTGTCACCTGAGCACAGGCGTACAGGTTTGTAGACAGGCTGTGAACTGACCTGGCCAGAAGATCTGATCCATTGCTCTTTTAAAGGGATAAAAGATCAAAGAAAAATGAAAAATGGGTTACTTATCAATTCTGCTTACATAAGCTGAAATCTTCCCAATTTCTCTCCACTGAAACCGTAAAGTTGCAATTCTGCTGTCATTTTTCGTTTCATATACTATGATACCCTTGGCGCAGATCCCCAAGGCTATCTCCCATTCTGGCCTGGTCTTCTCTGGGAGAACTCGGTGAACCAGCACACCATATTCTGGGAGCTGCTGTGTGACCTGGATCAACAAAAAGGCCAGTTTAGAAGAGACAGGTACTTTGAAATAATGGGTTTCAAACCCTTCCATGAAAAATGGCTTAACATATGCTTGAGAAAAAAATAATTTGGGAACAATGAATTAAACAGATCTCCACACATAATTTTTTTCTATTTCTTATATGATAGCCTTTTTTTTTAAAGATTTATTTGTGCATACAGAACTGGGGTACAGGCCAGAGGTTCAGGGGCGGTGAGAGGCTTCACCACAGACAGAGTGGGGAACAGAACAGGCAGATTGACGAAGTACACTGCTGAGGGAAGCAGCGGGTGGGTCAGGAGAGGTCTGCCACACCATGTGGTCACCTCCGGGGCAGGCGGGAATCGAACTCATGCGGAAGCGGCTTTAGATTCTCAGTACTGTGCTTTAACCCGCTGCACCACCAGGGAGGACCCCGATAGCAATTTTTTTTTAAAGGGATATTTTCTTTATGGAATAGCTAAAGCACCCAAACAGTTATTATGAAAATGGTACAATAAAGTAATAACATTCTGAGCAAGGTCTTAGAATTTAGAATTTTCTGGGTCATCTCAAGATAAAAGGTTTCTATTCTCAACTGTTTCTATCAAAGTCTACTGAGGTATCCTGTAATAACCTGTTTAACTTCTTCACTTTACAGGTGGAAAAAGTAAAGTCACAGCACAGAGATCAAGTCTCCAGAGGAGGCATGAATATGATCTCAGTTGCTAGCTTCTCTTACCAGGTAACAGGGCTTTGGTGGGGTCCCCAGTGCCTGAACTCTATTCTCATTTGACTATACTAGAAAACCGTATTTTGTCAGGACCTGAAGGTCAATCAGAGCTGGGAACTGCATCAGATCAACTAAATTCTTATGAGATTAAATGGATTATAAACATGATACAAATATTTTTATGTTGGAATGGTAGTTGCATCTCTGCCATCTATCTTCATGAGCTTCATCTGGAAGACTCTAGTCTTCCTCATAAGGTTAATGTACCAGGAGTCACAGCAGGGACACGTTGCTCCAAGAATCTGAAAACTTCTCAAAAGAGTATCATGTCCTGTCCAATCTGTCTCACCCCAATTAGGGTTCAAGAGCAGGGACAAATTGTGACTCTGCAAGTGCTTTTTCAGGCTCTGAGCCCCCTCTGTCTTACTGATAAATAATCTCTGCAGATAGGTAATGCTACTTGCAGAGTCTACCATGTGCTTTTGATTAAGTTTCTGAGCCTTGAACCTCCCTCTGGGGAGACCTGTCATCAGCAGCAGGAGCAGCAGCAGTAACAGACAAACAATATTTCTTGAACACTAGTGTTGCAATATCAATGGCCAGACTAGACAAGTGCTTAAAGTATGATAAAGTAGGGCCACCTCCCCAAAAATCAGGTAAACTTTTTTCTAAGAATTTAATGTGACATTTTTAAAAATAAAAATTTTAAGCATTAAAGTGGTCTTCATTAGAATACAGATGTAGTTGTTAGACTTGATTATACTTTCAATTATTTCACTTTCTTTCTATTGGATAAGAGGGATATGGCATAGATGTACCCCAATCTACAAGATTCCCAACATGGTAAACCACTATTCTGAACACACACTTGCATGATTTCATTTCATCTTCACACAATCGGAAGAGATGGGTATACAGCTCTCTCTTTCCAAATAAGGAAATAGAAGCATAGAAGGGTTAAGTACTCTGTCAAAGTTCCCACTGGATAGCCAGAAATGGAAATATGTGTCTGTTTGCTTCTGTTTCTTTACTAAAATTGAAAACATTTTAAATCTATATTTAATATCAAGGGTATCTTCAATTTGCAAATAAAATATCATCTGTGTCTCTGTGCTCTGCAAGGGAATTCCCATTGCCCCGCCCTAATCCATTCACTTTGTCTATTTTGCGATTGTTGATTTCCCTTTGTCTATTTTGCGATTGTTGATTTCCCTTTGTCTATTTTGCGATTGTTGATTTCCCCCTCAGAGGCTGGCTCCCCAAGTAATTAGGGTCTTCTCTCCATTTCCCTTCTCCCTACAGTAGGCAGCTAGGCCAGAGCTGAACACAGCTCTCCTCAGCATGTAGTGCTCCCGCCGTGCTGAAAATTGTTGGGACTAATAAATCATTTTCAGATATTCAAAGGATTCACACCAATTCATGTACTTTCACCCTATAATTTCACTCCTGAAAATCTGTCCTAAGAAAATATACTGAATAATCAAAATAAATTCTACTCATAGCAATGAGTGATCTCAACTTGCAGGGTTGGACTGGGGGAGACAAGCTTCCAGCGATAAATGATTTTGTAAAAGTTATACCCCCTTAAAAGGAATGATCAGGCAGTCTTCACAAAACATACTTACAAAGCATTTGGAATTACCTAGAGGATGCATCTGTCAAATATCTAAATTGGGAGAAATATAGGATAAACCAGTATGATTTCAACACAAAATATATAATAACCTCTAGTTATTGGGAAAAGTATTCCATGATTGAGGAAATTCGAACACACTGAGTTAATCTTAAATGAGTTGTTCTGGGATTGAAATGCTAATGTAGTTGTGAATCTTCCAAACAGTGTATGCCATTCAGTGTTACCCAAACTGGACTTCTGCCAAGTCTCCTCCTAGTGAGAGATTATGAACCAGTAGAATTAGTCATCAATGAACTGGAAGCCAACAGGCGCCGTCAGATATGGAGAAAAACTGGGATGAGCTATAATTAAATAACTCAGTGGCTATGGAGTAACTGGCTCTGGGTAGAAGCTGAGGATCAGGACTCTCTTGATACATATAACCTAGTAGAGGAGGCCAGAAATATATAGAAATGATCACCATGCACAGTGCCATAGGATCAACAGGATTAAAAGGTTCATAACCTTCAACCTAGTAATTCTGCTTATGGGATTCTGTTCCCAAGGAATTAAGCAGAAATGCAGCTAAAGATTTATGTCAAAACAACAACACTAGCCTCAGTGTTGTTTAAAATAGCCCCATATTTGAAACAATTTATATGCCAAACAACAGGGTATTGTGAAAAAAATTAGGGTACACCATGTGCTGATTTAAAATAAAATTTCAAAGCTATAGTGATGTGGGATTTTTAAAAACTTCACACAAAACTGCACATATAAATTCAATTTTAAATGCACATACAGGCACAGAACAAAGCCAGAAGGAAGCATATACTACAAAATAATTGCGCTGTCTCCAGGGGACAGAATCAGAAGCAAATGTTTACTTTTACAAAAAGGGGGCGTGGGATGAAGAAAGAAAGTCGCCTAACAAACACTTGTCTGGAGGAGGGTCACAATATGCTCTGGAGAATCACAAAGTCCTCTCTGTGTCTAGTATCTGCACCCTTGGCTTACACTGCATTAAGTCCATGAGCCACCCAAGGGGACCTCCAAACCCAGCATTCCCTGAAGTTGATGAGATGGCGTGCAAATGAAATCAAACCTATTCAGTATTTTTCATGAAAGACTTTCAATACATTTTTCTAAACTTTTTCTTATGAGATGGTGGCTTCCTTTACATTTTTATCATTCAACCAATGGAGGGAGGGACACAGCAAGCCCCATCCACAAACCAGGAGAGATGAGCAGGCACTACCCACACCACAGACATGAGTGTGTGGCCTCTCTGCTGTTTCTGAGGGTCTGCAGGCCCTCTCTATCAGCTGTTTGTTGAAAGATTGAGTCCCCACTTGTCCTTTGTCAGTGCTGTATCCTCTCGACAGAAAAACACTTGAGAGGGCTGGAGTATATTTCTGCTAGAGTTTCTCCATTGAAATGCTTGCTGTTTACACCCATGCTATATTGACAGCTTGGTTAAGTGACCAACAAGAATAAAAGGCCAGATCTTGCTTGGAAAGTTCTACTCTGAAACAGCCATCTCTATCAAAGGCAGGAAAACATTGGCAGAATATGTCTACCTATCTAGGGGCACATTTGTATACAACAACATATAAATCCAGCATATAAATGTATAAATGGAGCTTCTTTTTGAAACTGCTCCATAACTATAAAGGTCCAGCCAGGTGTCCTGGGGAAGTTGGGAACCTTCCCCCCATAACTCCCCAGCTTCATCCTCATGAGCAGATTGCCCATTCCCTTCCATCTTGACATAGAGCTACTGGTGTTATGCAGCATAATGCTGATGATGCCTCTGGGTACATGTTGCCTTCTCCATGAGACAGGACTTTCAAGAGGCAGGGGAGATGTCTTTTTCTGTCTCGATTCTTGGTCCACAGTAGGTGTAAGCTGTGGAGGGAACAAAGCCTATTCACTGAAGGTTCTGTGTGAGCCCAAAACCTGGCGCACTGAAGTGTTACCGCTGTTGCTCCAGGGCTGAAGAGAGAGTGGACTAGAGCTCACCTTCATACATGGACCACTTCATCTGTGTTGTGCTGTAGCAGCCTGAAAAGCAGCTGACCTGGGGTCTTCCAAAACCTTAGTTTTTAGCTCATAACCCCATTTTATATTTCAGTTGTTCTACATATCATCTATGAGAAACATGTTCTCCTCATTCACAGAAAAGTGACTGTGAGCTGTAAGGCTGAAGAACGACCCTGACATGACCATTCCAACCCACTACGTCCTATCCATCATTTGGGATCATCTCCAATGCCACCTGTTTCCAGAAGCATCTACTTGCCCCACTGAGTGATAGAACTTCCTTCTTCCCAGAGCCTCAGTGCCTTGATTATACTACACCATAGGTCTAATCATATCTGGAGAACATTCTGGAGGAGGTTGCTGACTAGGTTCCCTTGAACACCAACACCCCAAGGGTACAGAAGCCTCACCCTCAAGAACTCCAGCTCAGCATCTTCTCCCCAGAGCATAGGACTGAGTCGGTGCATCTCCGAGATCTTGACTTGTACCCGAAGGGCTGTCATTCTCTCAATCAGACTTGCTGGGATGTAATCTTCAACTCGAAAATAGGCTCTGTTCTCTACTGGCTGGAAACAAGGCACAAAGAACGCGTATCACCAGGATGCCTCTCATGGGGCTCTAAGTAGAACAGATGCCTGCGTGCAGTTGAGTCTCCAGTTGGGGCCCCCAGCAAAGAGGATCCTTAGAAATGCCCACTGGGATATCTTTTTCTAGTATATCAGAAGTTAGGCCAAACTATATGACAGTATTAGAAAAGAGAGAAGAAAGGAGCCCCTTCTGCATGCCAGTGGTCCTCAGAAATACAGATGCTCTTGGTCCTCACTGTAACTGTATGAGAATGATGTTACTATCACCACCACCAAGAGGAAGAAAATGAATAAGCTGGAAAGTCATTCAACAGGGTCAGGGCATGCAACCTGTAACAGATACAAGATTTGGTCACAAGATCCTCACAAAGCCCATGACGCCATGCTACATCTCCAAAGACACAGTAAAACCCGGGCTCTATAACTTTGTTTCTTTTTATTCACTGAGCATGTTAGTCCAACGCATTCCTAGTGTGTCCAATGCATTCCTAGTGTGTCATGCCTCCTTAAAGGGCATTCCAGAAAATCAAAAAACTATAAAGACAGCACAAGTGAAGAAGCTTCCAGGGGTCAGGGTAGAAAGGTAGAAACTGGTACAGCACAGAGAACTCTCAGGGCAGTGAAACTCCTCAGCATGACACCATAACAGTGGATACATGGCATTATAAATTTTTCCAAACTCATAAAATGTACATCAGAGTGAACCTACTGTAAAATATGACTTTGAGGGTTATGATACATTAATGTAGATTCATGAATTATACCAAATATTTCACTAGTAAGATGTTGATGGTGGGGGACACTAACCATGGAGGTGGGGCACCTCCAGGTAGATAGGGAATCTCTGGACATGCCACTTAATTTTTTTTAAAGATTTATTTGTTTATTCATACAGAACTGGGGTACAGGCCAGAGATGCGGAGGGTGAGAAGATTCACCAAGGACAGAGTGGTGAGCAGAACAGGCAGATCGACGAAGTACACTGCTGAAGGGAGCAGCGGGCGGGTCAGGAGAAGTCTGCAGTGCCATGTGGATCACCTCCAGGGCAGGCGGGGATCGAACTCATGCGGAAGTGGCTTAAGCTTCTTAGTGTAGTGCTTAACCCGCTGCGCCACCAGGGAGGGCCCGCCACTTAATTTTAATAGGAACCCAAAGCAGCTCTAAAATAATTAACATCTATTAACCATATAACTACTAGTTAGTACCTTTGACTGAGTATCCTATTGCTAGAAATATGTCTGAGAGAAGACAACATGGGACTAATGGAACTAAAAAAATCTACAGTACAAACATGTATTTCTGTGTCATTTATATAAAAAAAAATCAGAAATAACTGAGATGATATGAGTAGCATTTCCACTTACATGACACCTCTAGGTGATGCCCAGCACTGAGAAAATGAGCAAGTGAGGGAAGGTCACTTCCTGCTAAGGCACAATGTGTAGCTATCCCAAATGACCATTAGACGGCCCTGGGAGAAGGACACCACTGGATGAGAAAGCAGGATGCAAACCAAATGTGGCAGCGTTTACAACTGTATTAAATCCCCTGTATGTGATCAAAGGCTGAAAGAGAAAACACCCAGAGGAAAGTTGTTTGGCTGCAATGATGTAATTAAAGAGATTTATTTTTATGCCAAATTGTCTTTGTCTCCTTTTTTAAAATGCAAATGCGATCATGTCACTTCCCTGCTTAGAATTCTTCAGTAGCTCCCAATCTTTCACTACAGTGGTTTCTAAATTATTTTTATCCAACACCAGAACCATTTATCACACAACATATAAGTCCCCAAGGAGGGTACATCAGTCCTCCTGTTCTCCTGGGTGGATCTCACTGGGGGCCATCCTGTTCACAGGGATTTAGCAAGGGTTGCAGTGAAATACTTGCAGCACCAGCCCATAGTGGATCAACACCACCTGCTCTTCCCACCCACTTAACAACACAAGCTCCAGGAGGGCCTCTGCTCTCCAGGCCTCCCCTCACACCCAACCAGTGCCCAGCACTAACAAGGCAAGGCTTGACTGCAATCACTAGCTCACCAAATCTTACCGAGGGACAATTCCTCTGAGCTAAAGGTGGAAGTAACACTGGCTTTGTGGGATTGAAGGAAGGATTAGCTGACACCAAGCCAGAGCAGACCTTCCATAAATTCCTAGTGAATTGATGCAAATGTGAATGGGTTTGTGTAACCAGTTGGATTTATTTATAAAGTAAGCAAATGGTCATCTTTTGAGAGCCACATGGGGGCAGCAGAGAGAATCTTGGAATTGTTCTGGTCCCCAGAACAGGGGAGAGGTTGGTAAGTAGAGACTCAGGAGAGGTAAAGGATGAGATCAAGTTGGAGCAGGAGCTGGGCAAAGTCAGTCAGAAGCGTGACAGTTGTGGGGGTCACCAAGATAGGGGTGCCTAGAGACACCTGGTATGGACCCTGAAGCTTTGGGCAAGTGATGTGATAGAAGAGATCTCTGCCCAAGTCAGGGTTCTTATTCAAGCTCTCCAGCTGCCTTCAGTGGGCCTGGCCCAGTTTCCAACACTAAATGCTAGAGGTAGGGTCTCAGATTTAACATCCTGTGTCTGAATCTACAGTCTGATGATGAGTCTTTGTGGTTTTAGAATAAAACACTCCTAATTCTGAGAGAGAGAGAAGAGAAACTTGGAAACAGCATGTAGGTGTCACACATGCATGACCGTCTTCCCTCCTTACAGCCACTTTGAAATAGTGAAATACTACTGTTTTCATTTTAAAGATGAAAAGCTGAGGCTCAGAGGGATAATGCGTCCACAATCATGTAAGGGCCAACTAAAAGACCATGTCTGGGCTCATTTCATCGAACTCGGAAACTCAGGACCACCCCTCTGTCCCATGAAGGCTGCTCCTAAGGATGGACTAGCATTGTCTGATCTTCTACATTGTTCAAGTCACACATAGGATGGGACCAGAGATGACAGCAAGGTTGTAGACTATTTTCCTGGGCACCCTTTACTTACTACACCCTCCAAATGTCTGGACACTTCTTTTCCCAAGACCTCCCAGTGTAGCAGCACAAGAGCAAGAGGAGCTGGCCTATGCATGGCAAAGACCCTGGTGCTGGCGGCTATGGAGACAGGAAGGTGCTCTAGTAGAAACAGTAACAGGGCTGGAGGCTGGTCAAAGGAGCAGGGAGGAGGTACAAAAAAGACCAGTTCTGGAAGAATGGCTCACCCAGACTGCCTCTTTTTGACTAAGCTACTGTTTTAAAAGATCCAGTCTCTAAATACAGTCACATTCCAACGTTACAGACCTTAGAGCTTTAACGTATGATTTTGGAAAGAACACAATTTAGCCCAAAACATAAGGCCATCGTGGGTCTGAGATTGGACATGCAGATGCTATTGGGAAGGCATTCAAAGACCCAAGCACATGGGGGTTAAACTTTTCTCTTTTTTCCTTTGAACAGTGCATTCCTCCTTTGCCCATGTTCTCTTTAGAACATTTCTATCTTCCACAAGGTGAGTAATTTGCAGAGCCAGCCAGCTTCTGTGACATGACAGTAATGAGGGCCTTCAAGATAAAGCCCTGTATGATAGCTGGGAGGTCACCTGGGAATAAAACAGTGAGAACTTCACCTCCCTTGCTCTTCCCTTTCTGCTTCTGCTGATACAGCCAGAGAAAGACTCAAATTTGGATACCATCTCTAGAAAATGCTAGAACGTACATTTGAATTGAAATTAGGAGAGGGCTTCGAACTACATTACAATGTAATATTGCTGGGCCACACTGCTCAATGTCAGTTGAGGTTTGTTGCCAAGCCTGTTTCCTCTCACCTTTAACATGAATTTTGGTTTTGTGAACCTAAGAGCAAAGCTGCCCTGCTTTCTGCCATAGCTCACCCGATGCTCCCTCTTCCTTCTGGTGTCTCCATTTTGAATCCTAATTAAGTAAATAAATACATTAGCAAGAGCCCTTCCCACTCTGATGCATTAGTCGGTAGCCTCTACTAACTTTATGAGCACTACAGGAACCATCATAGGCAAAAGAATTAAAGAAACCTACATGTAGTTCTGCTGCAAATGCAAGGGGCTTGGCCACCAAAATCAGAGCTGTCATGTCAGAGATAGTGTGTCCAGCAGAATTAGCATTGGCCTTAGATTCAAATACATCTAGGTTCCAATTAAGCTTCAGGACATTTTATAGATGGGTATGTCTCAATCACTTTTCTAGCAAATATGAATTATAGTATCTACCCAGCTATGTTACTGTGAGAGTTACATAATTTAACACTTTGGAGAATGGTATCTTCATAAAGGTTGACTACGACTGATGATGATGATAATGATGACTCAATAAATTAATTATTATTTTTAGGAGGGGGCTTAGACCTACATTACAATGTATAAATTTGATGTACCTATATTTGTATGTTCCAGAACCCAGCAAAGAACACTCAACGAATGCCTGTTGGATGGATGGACGGATGGATGGAATTTAGTCCAATCTCAGTGGTAGAAGCTAGCAATGCTTCTCAAAGGCACTGTCTCCACTTATTAAGACACCTATCCCATAACCGCTTCTCGAGCAATCCCACCCAAGGGCTCCAGATTTCCACCTCTACCTCCTCAGGGTAAGTGCCAAACTCAGCCTGCAAGGCGAGGACCCCCAGCCGCAGCAATGTCTCGTCATTGCAGTAGAGCATGTTTGCCAGGATGTCTCTACGAAGCTGCAGGTAAAATTGATGTCTTGTCTGGCTCTGTCTAGGGGGAGCAAGAAGAAAAAGGGTTTTTGGGTTATGCAGAAAGGTAAACACTAAAAGCAGACATTTCCCCCTCAATTCTGGATGCAGGGAAAAGAAAACAGAACATAAGCCAACAGAACCCAGAGAGCGATGTCAGTAAGACAAGCCTGGGCCCCCTCATCCGCACCACGTCTCCTGCCTCTAGTTGAGGGCTGTTCTAGGCCAGGGAGAGTCCAGTGGGAAAGCTGGTATTCAGTTAGATGGTGTTTCCAGTAAGCGCAGGAGTAAAGTGGCAGTGACCAAGCTCCAAGCCAAGCCCTCTGCCTGCATTCTTATCACTGGGCTGTTGGGGTCAAGGGAACTTTGGTCTTGACTAGTGAGTAGCTGAAATAAAAGGGCAAGTTCTAATTTTCACCAGGGCTTGTCCCCAAACATTGCTTTCTCCCCTTTTCTGTCTCATTAAATACCAATCAACAGGATATGGATCACTATAACTTGCGATTTATATATAATTTAGTTTACAAACACAAGCACAAGTTATCAGCTCTAATCTCAGTCTGATAAACCTCAGGGAACTCAGGAACAAGCTTGCCTCACTTACTGGAGCAGCTCACAGTGACTGACAAAGAACTTGATCCTCAGAAAGAGTGTGAAGGTATCCAAGGAGGCCTTCGGGGGCTGCTCACTCCAGCCTTGGGGGGATACTTTGCCCAATCTGGTTTCATGGTCCAAGAAAAAGAACTCTTTGCCTAAAATGGAAGTAGAAAGTATTTAGTGAGAAAAGCAGTTGGGAAGACACTAGCTCTTGGGCTCAGAGCCCTGAGTCAGGCCCAGAGGGGTACAAAGGAGACTTGTGCAAAAGCTAGCCCAACTATGGATCCCTGGCACCACAGGCATGTGCTGAATCTGTGAGGTCAAAAGCAGGAGACAAAGAGGAGAGGGTCAAGGAATAGAGTTCCAGCACCAAAAGGAGAAAATGTAATTATTATCCTACACAGGATACCACTTAGTATCAGCCATCCAGCTACCATCTTGTAAGACAAGATGTAAAAGTGGAGTATTTGTTCCATTCTTTCTAGGGACTGGCCCTCTGTATCAATTGGAACATCCTCAACCTCCCTAATTATGAGTGTGCTAGCCTCCCCATTCATGGGCTGAATATCTGTCTTCCCTCAAATTTACTTGTTGAAGCTCAAATTAATTTCCCCTGTGATGGTGTTTCACATCTTCGGGAAGTAATCAGGTTTGTCTTGGGGCCCCTCTGAGGCAAGTACTATAATAAGAAGAGGAACTGCTCTCTTTCTCTCTCTCCACTGTGTGAGGACAGCATGAAAGTGGCTCTCTATAAGCCAAGAAGATGCTCACCAAGAGCTTGGCTGTGCTAAAGCCCTGATCTTAGCCTTCCCAGCCTCTGGAATTTTAAGAAATAAATGTCGTTTAAGTCACGCAGTGTGCAGAATTTTGTAATAGCATCTTGAACAACAAAGTAAAATGAGGCTTAAGTGGGGGGTCACCTTTGCATTTTGACTTGAATCTTGCCAGCTTGAAAATTCCACCAGCCCAAACTCAGGATTTTATAACTAATAAAAGAAGTTTGTCTGTTAGAACCTCTGTGAGGGAACTTAAGTGAAACCCAGCCACTAAAGGAAGAGAGCATCCTCGTGCTCTCTTCAAGGCAAAGCTTGACCTTCTGTATCCTGCTTGGGCACTCCTAGTCACTCCTTCTGGAATCCCTGCAGGGCCAGTCCACAGCCTTCACCATCCTCCAACCTCTCAGTCCACGGGGTCCCTGTAGCAGGTTGCCTGGACAGGAGTCATGCTGAGATTTGGAAGGCAGAGCTTACAAGCAGGTAACCAGTCTTTTCAGCTGCACATGGATGCTGGAAAAGGGAAGGAGGTATCCAGAGGCAGGCAACAGTGCCCAGATTCCTGCCCCTGCATACTTAACCCCACTGCTGAATCTGACATCTATCCATTTGACTCATCCTTTCCTTAGGGTGACTTCTCCCCTACAGGTGGGCAATTAGCTCCCCAATGCAGCTTGGCTGGAAAGCCCTGTCAAGTGGGTTTATATCCAAACTCAGATTGGCCACTTTTGAATGGGAGATCCAGGAGAACCCAGCTAAATAGTTCTAGAATGTTTAAATGGGAGGGATCTAGGACAGGTGCCTGGTTGAGAGGAGGCTGTAGGGGGAGAAGCCTTAAGTTGCAGTCACAGAATAAGTACATTGGTTTCATTAGACTGCAAGTTACACATCAATAAAAGTACAATGTCTCCTAAAAATTCACACTTTACAAAAGACTGAGCAAACATTAATTGATCACCTCAAAGCATATTAACGATTGACTTTTTATTCCAGACAGGGATCTCTTGGAAGTCTGCTCAGAGTTATGAAGAAAAGGCCCTCTCACCACCTGTGGCACACTGGATGACCCCACTGCCATGAGCTCCTCCCACTGGGGTTGGGGGAAGAGGGGAAAACCAAGATGATGGCACGCAAGCCGACTCGGTCTCCTGCCATTATTCCTCACAGTTATTAAAGGGCCTCAACTACAGCAAAGGATACTTTCAATAAATAGCCATTGAGACTCTCAAAGGAAAGGCAGATGAGATGGTGTAGGAACTCCTTCAAGATAATTCAGAACAGATTCTTGGGTTCCTGGGTGCTGTGTGTTTTCCCATTAGTCCTACATGATTAGATAGATTTTTCTTTTTTATGGTGGTCAAATATACTTCAAAGAAAACTGACCATCTTAACAAAGGCTAAGTGTACAGTCCAGAGTGTTAAATATGTTCACATGGTTATATAGCCTTTACCACCATCCAGCTCCAGAACTCTTTTTACCTTGCAAAACAGTATCTCTGTAACTCACTGAACATCAATTCCCATTCCACCTTTACCCAGTTCCCAACAGTTTTCTGTCTCTTTGATTTTCTCTATTATTATGTACCTTACATAAGGGAAATCATAGAGTCTTTGTCTTTTTGTAACTGGTTTATTTCACTTAGCACAACGTCCTCAAGGTTCATTCATGTTGTACCATGTGTCAGAATTTTCTTCCTTGTTAAAGGTGAATAATACTCCATTCTGTATATAGACCACATTTGGTTTACTGACTGTATCACACCCACATTTTAGCTACTGTAGGTAATGCTCTGTGAACACAGATATGCAGCTATCTCTTTGAGACCCTGCTTTTAACCATTTGGGTGTAAATGCAAAAGCAGAATTGCTGGATCATACAGTAAATCTAACTTTAGTTTTTGAAGAACTGCCCTAATATGTTCAAGAGCGTTGGTACCATTTTATACTCCCTAGATGGAAATGCTTCAATATTTGCTTATGTAACTCCAGTGCAGTGAGATTGATCAACCTGACCTGTCAGTCACGGTAACTACAACAGCTTACATGCACTATTCCATTACAGCCTTCTGCACTTGACATTTAACAGATGAGGATTTGCAGATTTACCATACAATGTCCAAGAGTACAAGGCGAGGTGTCACAGACTCAAGTTGTAGAAGGAATAACATTCAGCTACCTAGATACCTATGTTACCTGAGGCACCAGGCCAGCTGTGGGTAGCCCAGGAGACACTTGCCTTTCATGGAAGCCAGTCCAAAGTAGGCGGGCTCCTCAAGGTTGGTGACAGACATGATGGCATTGAAGACAGCTCCCACTGTCGTTGTGACATCACATTTCACCTCCAGACACTGCCCACTCAGCAGCACCACACAGAGGTCCCTGAGAGCCAAATAGGATTTCCCACTTTTGGTCTGAAAACAATAACAATATCGATTATGACAGTAACTATGAGGCCTGATTCTTCACCGTGGGCTAAGTACTGTGCTAAGCACATTATGTGAGAGCAGTCTCATTTAGTGACCGACAACCTTCAAAGCTGAGAGCATTCTTCAATGATTCCTACTGATGATAAATGAGGCAGAGGGTCAGTGAGGCTTTTGCCTGCAGTTGCCATTACTGAGAGGCAGGACAGGATGCAAATCAGCTTGAGACTGGAAGGCTGAGGCAGGCTGCTCCAACAAATGTTCCTCCCTGCAGAGATCTGAGCAGCTTCCCAACAGGGCTTCCCAGGGACCCCACCAATGGACCACACACTCCTGGGGATATGGGACAACCTGATACCGTTCCTCAGGTCCTTGCTGAGTACAGCAGAGAGAATATGGGCAGTGCAAATCCCATGAAGAGAGAAGGCTGGGGTTTTGGGATTACTTGGGATGAAGAAACTGATCGGCAGAGACATGCCCACAGATGAATAGCGGTGTATTTTCTGTCTCTTCACCCTACTCAGATTAATTCTAGATTCATCCACCACAACAATGTCTGCCTAAGACCTTGTACATATGCCCACAACCTAGAATGCTCTTTTCTACCTGGAAGAGGAAGTTCCCTATTCAAGTTCCTCCCTGGTGCCCCTGACCTTTCCCTCTACCCTACTTTCCTAAGCTGCCACCTCTGCCCCGGTGGCTTCTGGCTCATAGTCTACCATGACTTCCCTCTAATCGGAATAGCTCAGGGCCTGTTCTGGTGAGACATACCCCATCCCACAGACATCTCAGAGCAGACCATGGCAGTGGCTGTTCCCTCTCTGAGCCTACAGTACCCCAGCTCCTTCTGTGCACTGTACTTTTCCTTACAGAGGCCACACCCTAACTGGGCTGGGGCTTAGAGCCAAGAGAAGATGATTTTTTTTTTCCTTCCCTTTAAAGTGGGCAAATGCATAAGCGCTAAAATGTAATCTCATGTGAAGATGACTGTTCTGTTCCCTTTACAGGTCAGGAACCTGGAACAATGTCTGGTGCCTGCTCTATACTTACAGTATTTCCTGACTAAATGAAGAGATGGCTGAGCTGGATCTGAGATGAAGTACACGTAGGTTTATCCAGGGGTCACAGAGGACCTCTTAAAAAGGAAGACAGGGTTAAAGCAACACATGATGAAGCTCTCTGAAGCTACTGCAGCAGGAGTTTGATCCCAGGTCAGGGAGCTGACCCACATGGCGCGGCAGACCTCTTCTGATCTGCCTGCTGCTCCCCTCAGTAGTGTACTTGTCAATTTGCCTGTTCTGCTCCCCACTCTGACTCTAGTGAATCCTCTCACCCACCACACCTCTGGCCTGTACCCCAGTTCCATAAGCATAAGTAAATCTTTTTTTAAAAAAAGGAAGACACAGTGCCACAGGGTTGAAATAGGAGTATGACTTGGTGGAAGATGCTGGCAGGAATCCAGATGAAAGAATAAGCATCCCAAGGCCTTCCCAGCTGGAGAACCCAGGAAAAGTTGTCAGCCTCCAGGCCTGCCCACTGGATAGGCCCTTGACACCCTCCATCCTTTCCTAGTCTACCCAGCAGTTACCACAATTGATCCAGGCAGATGCAGAGTCACTGGGGCCTCTCCCGCCAGTAGGATGAACTCAGGTCTGGAGAACTGGGAAAACACGCAGAGTTGCTAACAGCAAAGAGGTCATTTCCATGGAGCTTCCCTTTAAAGTTCTTCTGGACTGGGCTTCCTCTGTGGATTGATTAGCCCCACCACCCCTCCACCAGCACTCTGTTTCTCAGAGCTTGCAGGGAACAGCTATTCAGTGAAATGCAGATACTGGCTGCAGCCCCCCACTAGGCTGAGATATGGAGCAAAAGTCTCACAGGTGGTACAGTGGTTTTAGTGAGGATCTGGCTCTTAATTTGAGTGGTTTGGGTAGCTACTTCACTGTAAGTTTCATTGTATCATTTATGTAATCTTTTATGGTTATCAAAGTATGAACATATATATAATATACAAAAAGATATTTTGAAAACAAAAAACCCTTTAGGTTCAGACTGAATGCAACCCGTTTTTAGGTCTGAATGTTGAATCAAAGGCAGATATGGACAGCTGTTCTCCACTGAATGATATGTGTTTGTATTTGTGACCAGAGATATATTTTAATGCCTGCAATTATTCAAAATCTCATAGGGTGTATAATCTCAACCCATTTTGCAAGACATTGCCCTTCCCATATTTTAGTACCTATATTGTGTCAGTTCAAAAGGCTCCTCCCATGTACATTCAACCTCTGTCAGCTCTGTTAGCACCCACTTTGGTTTCATCACCCACACCAATAGCTGTTAGCTTCCTGAGGGTGAGACCTCACATCTTCAACCATCTTCAAGTCTACCTACACACAGTGTCTAATATATTAAGGTCACACAATAAACAGCCTTGGCCTTGAATTGCACATTTTGGGTTGACTTTAGTCCAGTTCGATAAAGCTCAGCCCAGGGAGCCATCCATCCCTCCCTGAAGAGGATACCCATTTCATTTGCTGTGTCAGCCACCCACTACTCCCTGTTTAAACCTTTTCGGGGAAATTCTTTGAGGTCTCTTTTGCTCACCTTTCCCTTTCTTTTCAGAAAGTTCCTTTGAGATCGAGTTGCAGACAGAGAGTTTTCTGCTGTCACAGAGAGAGCAGATCCAGATTCAGAGCTGAACCGCTGGCCTTCCTGAAGGTCCTGGGGAGTTTCAACTGGAAGAGCACTGGTCAGTGGTCAGAGGAGGGGAGGAGCAGTTAACAGGAGAAATGGCTTCCAACGAGAGAAAGCCCACCAGCACAGATGCTCAGCCGAGGAGGTCTATGCACCACAGGGATTATCATATTCACTTTCAAGTAAGATCACTATGACTACACAGCCAAAGGGGTCAACAGGGTTTGAAGTGCCCAGTCAGTCTCTTCCTTACCCCATGACCCTCTCTGTGTGCTGTGCTCAGGACAGGCGGGTCCCATGATCCTGGGTCCTGAACATCCTGGAGTAGGCAATAGAGTCACAGAGGGCTCTGACTTTCTCCCTCTGAATTTTTATATTTTTAAAAATGTGTTGCTATCAAATATAGATTGTTCATGGAATCAGAAAGAAACAATGAAACTATTCTCACTGGGAAAACAGTTTTTAATGGCAGGAAAAATCATTGTGAGGTAAACCCTACAATACCTAGTCAAAGCCCCCACTGTGTATTTGACATCACAGCCCTTAGATAAACTATGTAGGGACAACACATTGTCACCGCCCTCCACAAATCAATAGGTAAATAAATACCTCGGCTTCAAAATGTCCAGCATTCCAAGATCAGGATGATTTAAGCCCATGTGAATTTGAGGCAAATTTAAGCCATCATGTCCTTTTCAGTGTAACTTTGCCCCAACCCCATTAGGAAGAGGAATATATTACCCACCCCTTGAATCTGAACTGGACTTGAAACTTGATTTGGCCAAGGAATGAAGTAGAAGTGGTAGAGGACAAGTGTAGAAGGTTCTTGCACCCCACCCCCTCTCTCCCTCCTTCCTCTCTCTCAACTCTGTCACTATGATAACAGCAATGCCAGGCTAGCTTGCTATTGGACAAGAGTCATGTCCCCAGGTAATATCCCTGGACCCTGTCCAAGAAGCAATGCTCCCTCACTGAGCTGCGGCAGTTCACTGATGCACAGGGCATCCAGCAGAGTCTAGAAGAACCTCCCAGCCTAGCACAGCCTAAATTCCCAATTCTGATTCAAGAGCTAAATAAAATCAGGGATCTTGCCACTGTGCTTTATGGCTGTTTGTTATGCTATAGGAAATCATGACAACATGCAAGTGTGTTTTTCATCCATAACTGAGTCTGACAATACAGTGCCACCCAGCCTCTCATCACCTTAGCGTCCCATCTACCTAAGTGGGACTTCTCCTCCCAGAGGAAGAGGATTTTAGTAAGAAGCAGGATACAGCAGCTCCCATACCTATGTCCCTACACAAAGTTCATAGCCCTGCACCCTTGCTGCTTACCTGCTAAGAGAGAGGCTGCAGGGACCGTGTGCTAAAGTCTTGGGGCATGGCTCTGAGGAGCTCGGAGTCTCTGTGCTTTTCTCTGAAATTAGCCAAACACCATGGTAAGGGCATATGCAGAGACTAAGAGCATGATTTTCTTGAATTGGACAGCCTAGCATGATCTGTATCATGACTTCCTAGCTGGGTGACCTTGGCAACATTTCTTAAGCTCTCTGAGTCTGTTTCCTCATGTGGAAAATAACAGGTACAGATGGTTCAGGGAGGCATGACGGGCAAATGTAAATCCAAAGGGCAAAGAGTTCTTAGCTTTAGGGACTATAGATAAAAAACACCAATTAAAAATAAAAACTGAGATGTAGTAGAAAAGTCTAGAAGAGCACAAAATTTGAAGATTATTCCACAAGTCATTACTTTTAACACATCTAAAACAACAACAAAAGCACCTATTACTAATTGCTGCTCCTTTTACTCCACCTAAAAACTAGTTAAAGGAAAAGTTTTCTTCTATGTTACTTATTTTCATTTGTCCTCTCTACTGGGACAGTTAGAATTCTATAAAAAGGGGGTTTCTGGCCCTCCCTGGTGGTGCATTGGGCTAAAACACAACACTGAGAGGCTAAAGCCACTTCAACATGAGTTCAGTCCCCGCCCTGGAGGTGACCACATGGCGCGGCAGGCCTCTCCTGACCACCCGCTGCTCCCCTCAGCAGTGTACTTCATTGATCTGCCTGTTCTGCTCCCCATCTGCCTCTGGTGAATCCTCTCACTGTCCCTGCTCCTTTGGCCCGTACCCCAGTTCTGTATGCATAAATAAATCTTTTGGGAAAAAAAATGGGGGTTTCGGTTTGCCATAAATAAATGTCAAATTTTATCTCCAAACAAAGCCTTCCTTAACATAGATGAATCCTAAGCCAAGCCTATTCAAGGGTCCCCTGGAAGAGTGGCACTTGTGTGAGGGCTTTCTCCGCCACAGCAGCATCTGGCCACATGCACAGGGGGCAGTAGACAGGGTACCATTGGCCCCTGAAGAGGATGCTCAGGGTGCTGTACCCACCTCTCCGGGGATGCAGACCTGCCAGGGCCTCCCGTACTGCTGGGCTCTCACAGCTTTCCTGATGCAGCCTGTCCCTGAGCAGGTGACTTCTGTCCTGATGCACAGAGGCATGTGCTTCCATGACACTCCTCTCCACCTGAAGGTCAAGCACATCCAAAGAAGGGGGAACATCAGTTTTAGTCAGTGTGGAAGTGTCTGCCCTACAGTGAAAGCCTCATGATGCCTTCTCTAACAACCAGAATACACTTTGTACCCAGCACCCACACACACCCTAAAGGTATTCAACCCCTTGTATCCTATTGGAGAACCCTAGACAAGTGCAGCAGCCTCCCAGCTGGACTCCAGGTCCTCCTGCTGACTCCTCTATTTGATCTGATATAAGTATAGCAGTTCCTGCCTTCTTTTTTGGCCCATTTGCTTGTAGGATTGTTTTCCATCCTTTTATTTTCAGTCTGTTTTTATCTTTTATAGTTAGATGTGTTTCTTGCAGACAGCAGAATGATGGCTTCTGTTTTTTAATCCATCCTGCAACTCTGTGTCTTTTGACTGATGAGTTTAAGCCATTTACATTTAGAGATAATATTGATATATTGGCACCTACATTTGCCATTTTGGTCCTTCTGTATTATTATTCTTTGTTTTGAGCTGTTCTTGTTCATTCTTCTGTTGGATTTGGTTTGAGGACTTCTTGTAGTAGTTTTTGGAGTGGGGGTTTAGTCTTGACGAAATTGTGGAGTTTCTGTTTGTCTGGGAATGTCCTTATTCTTTCTTCGTAGAGGAAGGAGAGCTTCGCAGGGTAGAGTATTCTTGGTTGGCATTTAATGCTATGGAGTTTGTTGAGAATGTCCCTCCACTCTCTTCTTGCCCGTAGTGTTTCTTCAGAGAAGTCTGATGTCATCCGGATTGGTTTCCCTTTGTAGGTTATTTGTTTCTTCCCTCTTGCTGCTGACTCCTCTAAACCACACACCTCCTTTCAGAGACTGGCTGCCTCATTTGCCTAACCCTGGTCCCAGCCCTGCCCTGCATCAAGGGGCTGGAGGGGCTAATCATGATATAACCCCTGATATGGACCAGGCTGAGACTGCCTCCAGCTGAGACCACCTCCTCCTTGGCTTGTCCCCATCCAGTCCTCCTCCCCCCAGTTCTCCCTGCCTGGGAGTGCACCCCTAATAAGTGATATCTAAGAATCTGTCTCTGATTTTGTTCCAGGGAATCAGACCTAAGCAAATGCATGAGCCATGCCTCATGCTAGGTGCAAGGAGCAACAGTGTGACAAACACAGCAGCAAGACGCTCTGTGGGTGCAAAATAACTGAGGGAAGGGAGAGCAGGGACCACGTAAGTCCAGCAGGGAAGTGTCTTAATAGAGGCTCAGGTGGACTGAATCCTGGATCCAGTCAGAGATCCCTAGGGTTTTGGCCACAGTAAGAGTCTGGGTTTGCACCAAGATTTTTGCCAGGACTACTGAATAGAAAAGTGATGATGGGAATGAATGTTCTAGATGTAACCTGTCTAACACAGTGATCACCATCTACTTGAAATGTAGGTATAATTTAATTTAATTAAGTAAATTTCACTAATTAAATATCAACAGTCAAGCCTGGCTCTCAAATTAAATAGTGGAGAGCTATACTGACCTTAGTGATGGTGTATAGAACCAGGCGGGCCAGCCGGCTGACATGGAGACTGGCAGAGGCTGGATCTACTGCCACTTCTTCCTGATGAACCCGGCAAGCTTCTAGAATTGACAGCAGTGGCAGCCGCCTGCGAGGCTGGTCTTCACACATGGTCAGCAGGACAGAGTGCAAGGGCTCTCGGAGCTGCACAGGCTGGTCAGCAGAGAGGCTGGGTGTGAAACCTGACAAGCCACCGCCGCCCAGCCCAGCACCTCCACCACTGTGCTGGGAACTAGCGGCAAGTGCCCTTATGAGTGCCAGACAGATGCCTGCTCCTCCTGCGGGCGCAAGGAGGGACACAAGATCTGTCACTGTGGCCACAGGATGCAAAGCAGAGGTCTGGGCACTGGCTGAGTGTGATTTGCTGTTTTCTGATCTAGAACGCCCTTCCGGGCATGGAGAAACGAAATATGTACTTGGAGTACTTAGGAACAATGGGTGCTTGACAGAATGGATTTCTACTCACCCAGCACCCAGCCTATCATTTTCACAAATTATTTAGCTGGGTCTCTTTGGGTTTTGCCCCTGGCCCATGCCTTTTCCACGTGGGATGACAGTGGTCAGCACACTACTCAATCCTGGCTTGAAGTGTAGATTCTATGCCCATGCCAAGCAAAAGAAAGAAAATCATCTTTTATTAGAACTTTCCTCATGCATGTTAAGTGGCTGCTTATATGGGGAAGGCCTCAAATTCAGACACAAAACCAGGCCTTTTCTCACAGGCGATCCAAGTTGCAAGTCAGTATCCTGCAAGTCAGTCACCACACTATTATTTCTACGTGGAGCATTGGCTATGAATTCCTCACTTCACGTGTCAACAGGCTGCTGAGTTCACTCACAAAGCAAATGAGAGTGCCTGCTATGTGTTTGGGATAGCATACTGTGGAGATAGGAAGCAGGAGACAGTCCCTGCTTCATACATCACAGTCTTGAGGACAGTCACTTCAATAAACAAAGGTGCAGGGTGATATGCCTGTATGTCTCTGGAAACACAAGACAAGGTAATGACATGAAGCACAGGGGAGGAGGGAAGTGGGGGAGGAAGTGGGGCCAAATCCCATAAAGCACTCTGGGGTTAGCTGGGAGAATACGGATGGGAGAGTGAGATGCAGGTGGTAAGTGCAGCTTCAGCAAAGGTGTCCAGATGTCTGAGTAGAAGGGGGTGATAGGCAGATGCAGGGGAAAATAACAGTATATAGTGGAGTTCTGTTCAAAATCAACAAGAGGCTGTATGCAGTGACAGCAGAGCATTAAATCAAGCACAAGGCCAGCACAGGACCCTGTGTTATTACATAGACCACATGCCCGTGAAACTGGACTGAAACAGAAGAAAGCCAGCAAGGTACTAGGGCCACAGTAGAAACCCAATCCTGGCTCCAGGTATATCCTGCTGTGAAGCAGAATCCAGCCCCATGGCAGCTGTGGAGGCCTCACAGAGGGAGGGACATGAGCAGGCCTCTATTTTAGAAAAAGCGCTCAGAAGCATAGAGAAGTGGGATTGGAGAGGGCAAAGCTAAGCAGTAAGGAAAGAAAGGAGGGAGGTGGGGGAGCGAGAGGGGAGGTTTCCAACGGGCTCTTAATTCTAAGGAATGCAATGTCAGATGACAATTTACATATACACAAATGCTATATTAAAAATTTTTATAACATATAGGTAAAACATCTATATTTTAAACCTTCTTGAGTCTTTAGTAAAGTACCTTGAAAGTCTTCAAGAGGGAGACTGGGAAGCATTTTAATCTACTGCCCACAATACCCTCTTACAGGGATACATCTCACTTCATCAAGGGATACTTTAAAGCCTGATTTGGAAATCTGTACCTTCAATGTCTATAAAATCCTCTAGGTTGCTACTTCCTCTGAGTAGGAGTGATAAATAAGTTTTATCCTGCTTGCCAAGCCCAGGTTGCAGCTTCCTGGAGTGCAATTGTTGGGTGGGATTCTGGGGTTGTTTCTAGACTTGGCAGGAGCAGTTTTGTAGCCTGTTGGCAAAAACTTCCCAGATCATAGCAGGACAGAGGGGTGACACACAGCTCAATGGATGTGGTCCCTACCCTGGATAAAATCACTAAAAAAAACATAACCACAGGACTCTTGTTCACAGACCTGATTGGACGGAACATGAAACCCGGCTGACCAGTAGAGAGTCATTCCTAACGAGTACACGTGCATCTGTCCAAGAGAAAAAGCACATGATTTCAGTCACCACTGTTATTGTTTGGTCCGGTAAGGAAAACACAATTCAGTTTCCAACATTGGTGGCGTACTAGCTCACCAACCACTTGTATCTCCCTTAAACTTTGCTGCTACTTTAGAGGCTGAAAGCCATAGTGACGATGAAACTCAATTCTGGCAAAAATGTAGGAGAAATCTGTCAAGGGGCTCTTGAGAGGTTTTGTTTTGTTACTGACAATAGGAACATCTGGTTAGTCCCATTCTCTCCCTCTTGCTCCTGCCTGGAACACTGATGTGATACATGGAATCACAGCAGCCATCTTGTGACCATCAGGCAATGAGCATAAGTGCAGAAAGCCAGCAGCTAAAGAGGGCTGAATGGAAATGAACAGTCTGCAGCCTTGACGACATTTACTGAGCTGCAGACCAATGGCTGGACTTGTGGAATAATAATTTTATCTGAGGCCAAAGGCACTATCCACACCTGGACCTTACCTGGATTCCAAGGACTTTAGTCCAAAAGTGTCCTAGGGCAAGGCCTAGAGCCACAACAAAGGCCTCTACCCAAAATCCCACACCTAGACCTTTGGTACATGATGCCTGAGAAAGGGTAGTGAAAGGATTTTAAAAGCAACTTCCGGCTTGGTGGGAAAGAATACCATAGTTGATTGGCAATGTCTGCCATGAGCATGCTGGGGTGATGGTGGCACAAGTGGCTTGTACTTAATGACCTGCCCACATCATCTACTTGCGTCTGGGACCAACATTCCAAGCAGTGGGGTGAGGGGAGGGCATCTCAGTATACAAGTCAGAGCTGCATGTTGACTGAGGAAGGTAATCAGGGTACATCCTCCACACCTTAGGGGGTGGGGGCTCAGGGCTGGGGCAGGATGCTGAGGGCAACTCCTCAAATGACCACTTATCTAATTGCCCACTCACCCCCAAGTCAAGTTGGACAAAGAAAGGCACTGGTGATGATGAAAAAGAAAGCCCTCTACAGAACTGAATGGTAAAGATGCTGTAAGAGAGAGACAAGCCAGGAAACCTGCCTCCTGGCTAGTAAATGACATCAAAGCTGTGGCTTCAGCCTGGAAACCACGCTTCCACATGCTGTGCTGCAGAAGCTACCAGGAGAAATGAGTACTCATTTTATTCAGGACTCAGTGCCTCCCAAATTGGCCCTCTCCCAGCTGAGAGTCACCCTGTCCTTGTGGCCCATACTCAGCAACATGCCTCCCCAGGTTTTAGCTCAGATTCCTTGAGCTTTGGAACTTTTGGAGTCCTCACTCCTCTGGATGGATGGCCAAGTGCAGAAGGGAGGAGGATATTTCTCCAGATCAACTCAATTCAAAGATGCTGAGCTGGGGCCCACCCTGGTGGCACAAAGTCTCAGGGCCATCAAGCTGTAGCCAGCTACAGTGGCCTAAGTTCAATCCCTGACCATGAAGTTGACCCACATGGTGCAGCATACTCTCCTGTCTTGCCTGCTGCTCCCCTCAGCAGTGTGTTTCAGTAGACCCTCCTGTTCTGCTGTCCCTGGTGAATCTTCTCACCCCTGCACCTCTGGCCTATACCCCAGTTCTTATATGCATAAGTAAATACATGTAAATATTTTCTAAAAAATTATGCTGAGCGTATTGACTGCTATAACTTCATAAGACACTCACTGAAAGTTAGGCCACAGTCAGGAGGGTGAAGTCTGTTCCTCACCAATTAATGGTGGGAGAGACAGGGAAAGACCCCGGGAGTACTGAAGATCATCTTAGCTCAGGTCCTATACAAAGCAGAGTCTGACACAAGGATCAGGTGTTGATGCTTCATCCTGGAACTGTAAACCCAGAGTAATAAGGAGGGGGGGAGAAAGGGAAGGGAGGCAAGGACAGAGGTGACATGAGCTTGCAGAACTCCTCCCTGCAACAAGCCACGTAACTCAGCTGAAAGCCCAAAAACCATAGCTGCTTAGCACCCAGGACTTCTCAGTAAAGCTTGCAAAACTTAGCCATCTCAAAAAGTCCACAAGAAAAGAAAGGGAGAATTTATCTTCTCAGTTCCCACCAAACTTTCATTTACTAGTGATTGAAGTCCATGTCATAGAAAACTGGACCCCCTGCATTTTCAGGTTGCATCAGTAGGACACTTCAGTGGTCACTCAAAAAGTCAGATCTGTGGTCCAGGATGTGACAGCTTAGCTGAGTCCAGCTAAGTACATGCAATCATTGCAGATGGAGCATCATCAAAGAGACAAACAGTGGGAATCTGAGAGGATTTACCTCCAGGGTTTTGACAATGTAGGAAATGGATTAAGGGCTGGAGAACTAGAGTGACTGCCAGGGGGTGACAGATCTAGGGTCAATGCCACAGGGACCCTGATGCTTTCACTGCTATGATGTCACTTGGAGACACAGGGACCCAGACAAGCCAACCTTGAAATCATCAAGACCCTATTCTCTGAGCCTAAAGTAGAAGCAGCCCCATAGACAGGACCACTCCAGAGAGGAGCAGAATTTCCAGAGCTGCACTTTCCCCATGAGTAGGCATGGAAGAAAGAACAGAAAACATAGATTAAATGCCCACATGTTCTTCCCAGTGCTGTGTGCCTGCCTTGCACCAGAGCTTGCATCTTAAGGATTTCATTTTTTTTTTAAATGAAGATATGTTTATTAGAGCTTTTTGTTATTCAGAAGCAAAACACAACCATGAAGAAATAAAAATCATCACTGATTTTGCCATCCAGAAATAATCACTGTTGACATTTTAGTGTGTATATTTTTAGAACGAAATCTCTCTCCCAACCCCAACTCCAGCTAGGATTACATTGTACATGCATATATTTAATTTATTCTCAAGTCATTAAATAAACTTCTAGGTTTCATGTTAATGCTGTCTTGTTTCAGTGGACATTTAGCTTGTTTCCAATTTATCATAAAAGTCAACAATGCAGTAATAAACATTGCTGCAGTGAAGTCAATCTTTATTCTTGCCTTAAGCTAAATTACTGTTTGAATGTTTGTTGGGTCTTAGGGCTTTGCTGCATGTTGCCAATGGTACCAATGTGGCAGACCATACACCTACAGCTTAACAACACCTCATTCTTAATATTTATAATGAGCTAGTGGATTATGTCATATTAACCTCCCTTTACACATGTAGAAATTGAGGCTCAGAGAAGTTGGTCCTCATTAAGGGCTAATATAAATTGCTGGTAAAATGTCTGGGAATAGAATTCTGTAAGTCCACTCTACTTCATTGTTCTTTGGGGCTTAGTTGGGGGCTGGGGACGCCATCCCCAGGACAGGTTGAGGTCCTAGGACCAGGTCTTTCCCCAGGGACAGGGCCAAGGGTGCTACAGAGACACCACATGCCTTACCTGAGAGGCATCTGGCTGCTCACTGTCACTGTGTCCTTGCAGCAGTTCAGGGGCCTTGAAAGGTGCAGCCTCTATATAAGAAACATGGTCTTGGAAAGAAAGGCTTCCGGTCACAGAAAGCAAAGCTGACCAGGGGCAGATCACATAGTCCGAGGAATCTGAAACCAAGGCAGTGATCGGTGTATAAAACAGTGTCACCCAATATGTGGTACATATACACAATGGAATATTACTCAGCAACTAAAAAAAAGAAACACATGTCTTTTGCAGCAACTTGGGTGGAGCTGGAAAAGATCATGTTTAGTGAGATAAGCCAGAAAGAAAAAGACAAATACCGATGGTTTCGCTCATAGCAGGAGTATAATGGACCAGGCAAGAAAATAATAATAATGAATAGTCATATACCAGAGTGGAATGGGAGTGGAATGGGAATGGGATCAAAAATAGTGGGGGGAGGGAAATGCACTGGACTATGGTGATGGCACATGGGTGACTTGGTGATGAGAAACACATGGAGATTACAACTGAGATGAAAAAACATGTATAAAATGATGCAAAAAATAAACATATTATATATATGTATATGTACATATACATATACATATATATATATATATAATTAATTTATATATAACTTGCTGGAATGGAAAAAAAATAAAAAACAGGGTCACCTTCTGGAACAAGGTATAGGACTGTGCCCCTTCCAGTATGTCCCTCCCAGTGCCTCCTCTGAGCTGAACTATGAGCTGTAGCCAGGGAAAACATGAGCAAAACAAGCTCAACCCTCACCTGTGTGTCCCTGAGCCTGTGTTATGAAAGGTGGCTGTAACTGTAAACTAGCTCCTGCATCCAAATTCATTAGTGACCTGAGTCTCAGCGTAAAAGGTAGGAATGTTGGGTCCACCTGAAGACTGGTATAAGCTCCACTTCTTTGGAGCCAAGCCAGGGACCAAGGCAGCTGGTCTGGGCATTTTGTAGTTGTTCATCAGAACCCCCAGGGCAGGGGAGAGAGAGCAAAACTTGGCAGAGAAGATGAAGCTGCAGGTAAGGGTACATTGACTCTTTTCATGTCCCCACACTGGGACCCTTTCTTGACTGTGCTTGTGTGAGCCCCCATGTGAGGAACCTCCACTGAGGCCTGGCAACCCCCAGGCATGGTGATGTCTGAATTTACTCCCGAGACTGCATATTTGCATTTGTTCCAGTTATCATTTTAATGTGGCGCCAAATCCATCATTCAGTGGCTGCTCCTCTCTTGGACACTGCCCTCACAGCGAGCGCCTGGTGAACCAGGCTCAGTAGAGAGCACGGGGAGATATGTGGGAGGCTGGCTCCCTGGTGTGTGGGAAGCTGGCCAGTGGTGTGTGGACATGGGCTTTGGCCCCACAGTGGCTCCAGTACTTGGCAGCATACCTGGCCTTGCAGTCATGTTCTCCTGACCCTGTCTACACAGGTGCAGGGGGCAGCGGAATCTCTCGGTCTTCTGCTCACACCACCATTTGGAGTTGTGTCTCACCTGCACCCACCTCCCCCCAGAGGATCACCCCACCCATGTCAGTGAGTGTGTGTGTGCCCTTCTTGTCTAGTGACTGCAGACATTCTATGACCGGGCAAAGCAGCCAACTTTGGTCATCTTGGACTGAGAGCATCACTCCTCCACCAGATTTGCACCCCAATCCCAGACTTCAAAGTTTGTCTCCCACTTGATAGTGACCTTGGCCCTAGGAGGCAATGCAGAATTCTCTTAAATCGTAGTTTAATAACTCTTTATTTTAATTTTCCTTGTTTAGAATACTAAGTGTGGGATCTATTTCCTGATGGGCGTTAGGTGTTAGCTGACCTCCCTGCCTCCAGTCTCTGGTTATGTCCAGCCTGTCTGGATGTTAGGAGAAGCCTATAGAACTACAGCAACCTCTCCCTGGGCACCATGCGTGGAAGGGCTGAAATATCAAGGCAAAATCAAGGTGTTTCTCCCTACTCTGCAGCAGGACTTGAGTCCAAGAGGCAGGCCTTCCCTCCCCCATGTGCACCAGTAGTGAGTGTCATTGCCTGTTCGTTCTAATCCCTCAAATCTGTAGCACATCAGAAAACAGCAGCCAGAGTATATTTGTCAGGGGAGTTCCCCATGACTCAATCACCCCAAACATACTTCTCTTACCATCACGAAGGTCTTCCAGGAGTCGCTCAGCAGCCAGAGACAAGAGTGACCAGATTTCTTCTTCAGACAGAGCTTTGCCCCTTACTTGTAGGGCACTGGACAGGGTCACAGAAGCCAGGCTTGTGCCTGCAAAGACACACACGTGGCAGAGCCTCTGCAATGTCAAGGAACATGTCTGAGCCAGCCCTTGCCCCTCTGGCCCAGGCGTGGCCCCGCCCCCCACAGCAAACCTGCGTCAGGCTTTTATCATTTGTGTCCCCAGATGGGGTACAGGGCCTGGCACACAGCAGAAGCTAAGGAAATGTTGGTGGGGGTGGGGCTGGGGAGGCTGCCGGTCTGACTGGGTGATTCTTGGTAAATGAGCACATGGCACATAAGTCACATACAACACAACACAAATGTAAATGTACACACGCACCGATACGAAGGGTTAAGTGAGCAAATAAGTGAAGGAACAAATAAAGCCGGGGGAGCGCAGCGCCCTGCAAGCTGGCATGCACTGGAGCAGAGCTCCTATGACTGAGTTGTGTCTGTTGCCTGCTCTCTTCCGCTGTCTGGGAAAGTGGTTAACAACTTTTCTTTGCCTCCAATACATGATTCATGTCATTTCCTCCCCAGCTGCCGCACAGAGAACAGGATTTGGTGCCAGCACCCGTCCTGTCTGTAGTGACTGCCAACACCTGCCTGAAGAGCGCGAATCACTAGAAGGAATAGTAAGGCTTGTGTTTTGCAAAGGTGCAGACTCGCAGGGAAGCACGGGACTGACTGACTGGCTGAAGGAGGAGTGAAGAAGGCTGGTCTGTTCTTCCCTCTCCTTAGCAGCGCTCCTTGAAACCAAAGCTGACATTTAAGTGTCTCTCTCCCCACACTCTCTGCCCCCCAACAAAGCTATTACCTACTAATCTCTTGAAGGGAGGGCCCCAGGTGCTGTGGCAGCAGGAAGAGGCCAGACAGGCCTTCCTAATCCATTTACATCACTGATCTTTTCTATAGCCAAAGCTCATGGATGGTGTCCTGCATTGCGGGTAGGGCGGGGAGCACAATGTGGCACCCATCCCTCCATTCTGCATGCTAATCCAAGTTCTCCACTCACCAGCTGCTCAGCTCCCTACATATGCCTCTGAGATCAGGCTCCTCCAGTCTCAGGAAGAGAGGCAGATTCCCAGGACAACTAGGCTTGCTCTTATCTCTACCCCCCTGGGGCCAGAGGGCACTGTAACAGGTCCTAACTCGGGAAACTTTATGGGTGAAATGTTACTTAGTCAAAGACCATTGTTCCCATTTGCAGAGAGAAAATTCCAAATAAAAAGTGTTAGACTCAAAGCTGATTCCATCTCCCCTGTCTTTTTTTTTTTTTTTTAATTCTTACTGCTTCATTTTCCAAAACTTGCTCGAGACTTACGGACTAGACATTTCTATTCTGCCAAGTTTTCTAATTCTATAATCACAATCAAGGCCACTTATTAAAGAAAAATCAAAGAGACTAGTCATGATCCTCAAACAGGAAACCTCTGTATGTCAAAATAAAACATCTCACAAAAATATCAAATGTGATTTTGTTCTTTTTTTACAATGACTTTGTGACTAAGAAAAAATAGGTCTTCTAGACAGGAGTGATTAGTTAAGAACATCATATTAATATTGCAATTCAATGGAAGGATAGCATTTTCAACAAACAGTGCTGCATTTTAAAGGATAAAACTCATGTCTTACATTAAAAAATTAACACAAAATAGATCATGGATTTAATATGGAACATAAAACCATAAGTTTTTAGGGAAAAAAATGCATTGGAGAAAATATTTGGGATCTAGAACTAGGCAAAGAATTCTTAGAATTGACACCAAAAACCACCTATGTGAGGAAAATTTTGTAAGTTGGACCTCATCAAAATTAAAAACTTTTGCTCTGAGACACTGTTAAGAGGATACAAATGCAAGTTATAGGCTGGATAAAAATATTTGACCACTACATATCTGACAAAGCACCCATATATAGAATATGTAAAGAACCTACAAAACACGAATCCAATTAGAACATGGGCAAGAGAGATGAAGGGACATTTTATCAAAGGATATAGAAATGACAAGAAATATAGGAAAAGATCGCTAACCACTAGAGAAGTGCAAATTATAATCATGATGTCACCATACACCTACTGAAATGACTAAAATAAAAAATCGTGACAACACTAAGTGCTGGTTGGGATCCAGAGAAACTGGATGGCTCCCATATTTCTGACAGGAATGTGCAGTGGCACAGCTGCCCTGCAGCATGCAAGAACCATTCAACTCAGAAATTGCGCTCAGGTATTTGTTCTAAAGAAATAGAAGTGTATGTGACATAAACACACAAATGTTCACAGTAACATTATCTGTAATGGCCAACAACTGGAGTCCTTCAACAGGTGAGGGAGTGATTAAGCAAACTGTGGTACCATGCGATGCTCCTCAGCAATTTAAAAGAATGAACTATTGATAAATGCAACTTGCATGAATCTCCAGAATTTTTTTCAGTGAAAAAAGAAAATCTCAAAAGTAACAATTAGTATGATACCATTTATGTAATATTTTGAAATGATAAAGTTACAGAGGTTGAGAATAAATTAGTGGTTGCGCATGCTTATAAGGTGGGTATGGTTATAAAGGGGCAAAAGGTGGGATCTATGCAGTTATGAAATTGTTCTGTGTCTTAACTATGGTATTTTATGCACAAACCAACACATGTGATAAAATCACCTGAAAGGAATCACATGTGTGTGTGCACACGTGGGCATGCACGCACGCGCGCACACACACACATGCTTGCATATGTCTGTAAGTGAGAACAAGTAACAGAAAATCAGAACCAGATCTGACATTGCATCTATGCCATTATCCTGGACTGCTATTTTACTGAGTTTAGCTAAATAATGACAGCATTTAGGTAAAGGATACATGCCACCTCTCTGTATTATTTCTACAACTGAATATGAATCTACAACCACCTCAAAATTAAAAGTTTAATTAGAAAATACAATGAGACATAATAACTAAATGAAGAAAGACAAGAGATCTCCTGGCACCACTTGTTTGCAGATTAATGAAATAGAGACTCTTGGGAGTGTAGCTGCTTCAAACAACCACCTTGGAAAGCAACTTAACACAAACTAATACATTTTCACATTCATGTAAAAAATATGCACAAGTGAATCCACAACTTTCATCAATTATACTTTTCTGAAGAATTATCCTAAAATCTTGCCAACAAATGATAAACAGCAAAAAGATCCATCCTTCTTTCCTGCCATATAGAGCAGATAAAGGAGCATCCAACATCTAGAAAACCACATAACTGTTCAGGTTGGCCAATTAAGCACCCTCTGTAGTTTGAGCAAGAGTTCCCAAGGGCTTGAAGTTACTGTTCTTGTTGCTGGAGATGTCAGGACCAAAGATGCCACATCAAATACAAGTCTGAACCCAGTCATTAATGCCAGTAAACTATTCACCATGCTTTCCATCAAAAACAAATAAGCCAAAACAATAACAACAACAAAAACACCTCATACTTCTTTCAATGTTAATGCATGTATGATCCTATTGCAAAACAAAACAAAACAAAACAAAAATGTGTGCTTTTTTTTAGTTTACTGGCACTAATGACTGGGTTCAGACTCACCATACTGCTCCAGTGTCTCTGACCCTCTTGCCCACAGGGGCAAACTGATTCCTGAATAGAGTACTTACAAGTGGGAACGTGTAGGATTCTTGATTTCCACAGTGACCCTAACCACATCCCTCCACTCTGAAAGGAAAAAGGTTTTTAAAGGACAGTCCAAGGAATCCTTTCCAGTTTAATAGTCCTCAAGAAGCAACCTGTACTCATGTTATTAACATTGCTAACTGTGGGTGGTATTAGAAATTCCATTTCAGAGCCAATTGATACTTCCTCTAATAATACAAGGTTCTATAGCGCTTATTAGATGCCAGCTAGTGTCCTTCATGCTTTGTGTGCATTAATCTCAGAAGATGAAACACTCGTCACCGCCTTTCACCAGCTGTGAAGTCTCTGGGCTTCTCTCCAAGTCCTTCTAAGCAGCCTGGTAGGCAAGGCACTGCTGTACCATGGTATAAAAAGGGAACCATTATCTAAATGCCAAAGGGAATGAACTGCACAGATAGACCTGGTCATCTCACCAGTGAGATTCTCAAGGAAAGTGTTCGACTGAGGGGCATACCTTTTGGAGTCTTCGACACTGACTTCATTCTTTGAGGGCTTCTGCAGCTAGAGTGACCCCAAGGACTCCTTTCCCGTGTGCAGTCCCATCACTCATTCAGCCAATTCCCCAGAATCCCTTCTATCAGTTCCCATGGATTCTAGGTTGATGAGGGGCATCCGGTCTGCCAGAGATTCTCTTAACTGATCTCTGACTTCTAACAGCCCTCTAACCTGGCCTGATCCCAGGAAACATAGCCCATGTCCTTGGTATTAGTGCTTCTGTTTGGACCTTCCTCTCAGGTGGGCTGAGATGGCAACAAACTTGAGCTTTCACTTATTAGATTGTCTCCACACACTTACCTTTGCCAACCTCATTTAATAAATGTTTAGCAAAGATCTAATATATTTTAAGCTCTGTGCTACAAATAGAAGGACAAAAAAAGAGAACATCCTGCCCTTCTGGGGCTTACTTTCTAGTAGGAACAGGGATGTTTACATATAAAATAATTCTAAAGAGAGAGAGCTGGAGAACAAGCAAATGTGGCGATAGACTACAACATTCACGTGAGTTGTGTGACCTCTCTGAACCTCTGTTTTGTCATATGGAAACAGAGTTAATCATATTAATTACCTCACAGAACTATTAACATGCTCAGTTACAGTTAAAGCGCTGAGCATATCTTCCTTCCCTTCTTTTTCCATCTCTGCTCCAGCCACTCCAAGAGGGATTTTAAGCATCAAAGCAGCTGAGCAGCTTCCAACTATAAGATTTTAAAGATATGGTGTTAATTGTTTCCATCTGTCTGCCAGGATTGAGGTGCTATACACATCCCATTTTCAACCTTAGCAAAATGCCTAAAATATCTCAATGTCTCCAAAATAGACTCCTGAGGAACCAGAGAATGTAGGGCTCCCAAAGAACCAAAGCTCTCAGAGCCATTCTTTTCTCCCTCCTCCTTTTGTTTCTTATGTCTTCCTTCTCCCTGTGGACACTCAGTAAGTCACCTGCCACGTGCAGACCAAGTTCTGGGCAAAAACCTTCTAGAAGGCAAAAGCAAACTTCTCCCCAAGGGACCAGATGCTTCCAGAACTTTCCTACAGCGAGTTCCTTGGAACCTGACCACGTAGGTGATGGATGAAATTGTATCACTGTTAGATTCTCCACACGGACACTGTCCCACTCCTAATTCAAATGCTGGCTGCGGCACCGACACGGTATAATCTGGAACAAGTAAACTCTCAAAGTCTCATTCCCCTCATCGATACAATGGGGATGACACTTCCCGGCTTACAAGATGGTTGTGACAAACAGAACAAGCCTATAGCGAAAAGACAATTAGCAGATGCCCTCCCTCTTTCAGTCTTCCAAGGTGAAACCTGGATTTCTAGATAAGAGAATGGATATTAATCGATGAAAAATACTGGCGCATTTTAGAATTGCGTTTCTCCCATTTTTCTTAATCTTTCACATACCATTTTCCCAGTATTAGTCACATTCCTATATTACCTGTCCTAATTAGGTAAGATTTTAAAATTTAACTGCACTTATTTTAAAGGAAACTGTATCATTACAGTAAAAGAAATGAAAATGACTTTACCTAAAAAAAGGTAATTATGACTAATTTTTAAATCATTGATTTTTTTTTTTTTGCCAGATATTGCTTTCCATGGGGTCTAAGCCTGAGACTTGATCTTTCACAGTAAAAGGAATAATTAGTTTGGGAAATATGAAAGGCCGATGGCTCTGAGCAGACTTATTTTCTTGACATAATCTGAAGAACTGAAGTAAAATGTCAAAAGCGTAAGTCAATGTTATTAATGCTGTTTGTGGTTTACCTGTGTTCTTCCATGAGGCCTGTCCTTTGGAAAGTAGTGCTTCATTTTTTCTTAAGGCCACAAGTCTTGAAGCCTTAAAAATTACATTATCTGTATTCAGAGTGGATTGACTGAATTCTCATCAATTAATACTTCAACATAATGCCTTCTAAGGAGAACAAAACTTTATAGATTTCAGAGTTTTCATAAACTTTGTGATTTCCACCAAAATTCTTCAAAGTAGGCAAGGCAAAAATGATTCTTAATTCCAGGTGAGGAAATGGAGAATTTAAGTGACTGGACGTCACAAAAGGCAATGGCTAATATATATCATTTACATTTCTAAAAGAAGGTTGTGACATTGCAAACTAATAAGACAAACTAAGGCTACATATGTTTAACTTAGTTTTCATTACATTAAAGCTGTGAATTCATAAAAAAAATTGTCCTGAAGCTCAACTTTAAACTATTATGCTCCATTAATCTAATGAGACACACAAACACACAAAATCATTCACATGCTACTTAATTAATGTTCAATCTAATCTGTCAAGGGGCCTCCAGAGAAACAGAATCAGGTGTGCGTCCTGTATCAAGTAATTGGCTTCTATGATTAGCACTGGCCAATTGTTCTATGGGAAGAAAAAATGAAGGAATGAAGGAATGAAGGGAGACCTAAGGAACAAGAGGAGGAGGGGTCACTGAGAGCTTTGATTCCTTGGGAGCCCTATATCCTTCCCTGATTCCCCCATTGGGAGTCAACTGTAGAGACATTGAGATATTTTAGTCACTTTGTTAAGAAAAGGGGATGTGTATGGCACTTCAAACCCGGCAGACAGACGAAACAATTAACACCATATCTTAACACCATATCTGAAGGGGCTAGAAATTCTAAGGTAGCTGATGCTGCAATCTTGAAGCAGAATTTCTTTTTACTCAAGGAGTCCTTAGTTTTGTTCTGTAGGCCTTTCAAGTGCTCAGAGGAGACTCACCCACATTAGCAAGGATAATCTTCTCTTAGTTATCTTAAGCATCAACCCCTTCTACAAAATAACTTCAAAGTAATGTCAGATTAATATTTTTGAAACAAATACTAAACCACATAATCAAGTTGATACATGAAACTAAACCTTACAGTTCAACTTGTAACCCAAATACATACCTTTAAATCACAATTAATATTCAGATAAATTTAAAAAACAAAGTCATACTTCCACTTAACTACTATATTGTATACAATTGTGAACATGCTAAACCAGTCCCCAAAAGAGAAAGTCCTTGGGTGCTGTTCACGCCTCTTGATAGATTAAAATTTAAATTCTGACAAGTGAAGTTAGGTGTTAAGATATATAATATGTTTGATGACAGGATAATAGGAAAGGAAAGAAAAGAAAGATTTTTGCTTAATACAGGGAATATTCATAGGAAACTAAGGGAGAAATATTCATAACAATTATAGCCCTCATTTGTGTAACTGGTGATGTAGTCAACCCATCACCTCAATGGTGGTATCTCCAGTCCAGACTTCTCTTCTCTTTTGAGCACCTACTTGGTGCTCTCACTTTCTAAAAGACAGTCTCACTGGATGCTCAAGACTGAAATCTTCCCTCTAATTACTCCTCCCCCATTCCCTATCCAAATAAATGGCTTTACCACCTTCACAGCAACATGAGTCAAACCGTCAGGTATTACTCCTATCTTCTCCTTTCCCCTCAACTGCCCATCCACTTAGTCACACTACCTCCAGCCTCTCTCAAATCCTTCCATTTCTCCCCCACACCCCTCTACCCCCACTGTCAATAGCCTGACCTAAGCTTCTAGTATCCCCTGACTGAATAGCCAATACATTTTCCAAAATACTTTCCTCACACACAACATTTCCACTGCCCAAACCCATTCTCCATCTTGCAGATACCACCTAAGCCACAAACCCAATGGTGTTACTCATCTACTTTAAAACCTTCTGAGGCTTTAATTTAGGTTCCCAACAGACAGGTTCTGCCTATGGTCAATTAGAATTTGGAGGCAGAATTGCTGTTAAAGCGTAATGGTACATTTACAGAAAGGAAAAGTAAGCATAAGTTTAAACATAGAATAACTTAGCCAAAATGAATTCCATTGAGCACCAATATATTAGGATTGGGAGTTTAGAGGCTGGGAATTCAAAGTATATGATCCCAGCAGGGCCTGGCCAGAGGGGAGTGAGAACCAAGTCTTCAGAAATCTGAGGAAGTCCAGTGATTGCTCTTCAAACTTGGAAAGGACACTCAAACTTTCCTCTGTTCTACATTTAAGTTCATAATTAACATTCATATTTGTCTTTTCAGAATCTAATACTGACTTTCATCCTTAAATCTGTTCCTGTGTTTCCTATTTTATAAGTTTTATCTGTCTATAGAAAGAAGTGACTATTCTTAATTTCTTCTCCCATCACCACTAATTATAGTCCATCCCCCTCATTTCTGTCTCTAAAATGCTCTTGGATTCTGAGATGCACTGAAAAAGTGCATCTAACTGACCAGTGGGAGACAATTATTAAATTCCAGGAATCCTGTGAGTTGTTAAATGTTAAGCATAGCTTAAAAAAAATAAGTTATAGAAAAAAATCATTAACAAATAAATGATATTATCCATATAGTCAAAACTCACCATTTCCTAATTATTTCACAACATTTTACTACATGCTCTTGAGCTTAATCAAATAGATGTGTATCAGAAATACTGCACACTGGTGTGCCAATGCACTTTTCTTCCAACTTCCTACTCATTGATATCACATCAGGAGTTTGGATTTGATCATGGTGGAATATTTACAGCAAGAATATGGGTTTGGTTTATTACTTTACTGTGTATCTAGACTTAAGAAAGTGATGAAAAAAATTAAAAATTACATTAAATCGAAAAGTATATCATCTCTGTAGCTACAATAGGTACAAAAAATCTGTATAATTAGAATTGTGAATTGCACAAACATTGGGAAAATATTCTTCCAGAATTTGAAAACTTTAAGTCAGCAAAGAAGATATTAATCTCATTGACAAATTAATGAAATTAAGGGCTCAACTTCATTGGTTAATTGTCTTCTTGTAAACTAAATAAGGAAAAATGTATACATTGTAAAAAACACAAGCTAATATTTGTGTTGGGACAACATTCCTCAGTCAATTGCAAACACAGACTAAGGATACAAGAGGTCAACAAATACCAGTGAACTCATTCTGTGTAAATCGGTTGACTACATTGTATTTGCAGTAACAAATTTTAGATTTTATTCCTTGTCAATTCTGCAGTGTACATCCTTCATGTCAATACAATTTTTAATGAACATATATATGCATACTGGATTTTTTTCAGTCTGCTATCACCTTATTGGCGGTTCTCTACATTCCCACTATTGTTTCCTGAGGTAATAGCCATCTCAAGCTTTCTCCTATCCCACATTCATACTGCCACTACAATAAGCTTCTTAGTAATGAAATATTATCATGACATCTTCCCCATTAAAATTATCCATGTTTCTCCAGGACCTGCTAAATTAAATTTAAGCCATAGAAGACCTCTCTGGCTCTGCACTGTTTACCTCTGGAACTTCCTTTCTTATCAGATGGCTATCTTCACACTTCACTAAAGTTCTGTTCCTAGGATACTTATTCATGACACTGGGCATTTCTGCATGCCTTTTCTCTGCCCAAGATGCCTTTCTCTCCTCTCTGCCCCCCTATCTCCTGCCAGTTCCCATGTGGTATTCAAACTCTACTCACCTCAGCTCTTCCAGGAGTCTGCACCACTTCAGTAGATACTACAGAGCCCTTAACACAGAGCCTACTCCAGCCACGCTATGCTATTCCTGCTACCCAGACCCAGGGCATGGGTTGTCCTTCCCCTGGACTGGATTTATAGTAGAAAAGTAAACGATACCAAAAATTACCTGTGTCCTCTGCCAAAGGCTGCATCCGAAGTGTCTGTGACCCCATCTAGGCCCTCATGGACAACGTTCTGACAGTGTGCTGGGGCTTTCTGCTGTCTCTCTGCTGAGCTCCCACTGTCGTTAGGTGTTACTGCCTTGTTTACTGTTTGTTACTAAGCATTTGGCTGTCCAGTAAGTAAGTCAACAAAAGCCTTTCCCTTTCCCGCTGCTTGTACTCATGGGCTGAGCCCTGTGAAGTTTCTGGCCTGTTAACAGACACAGTAACCCAGCAGCCTGAGTCCTCAAAGCCAGTGGCCCGTGAGAGAGCCTGTAAGAGCTCAACTGGATTAGGTGCTACAGAAGGCAATGGGATTGCAGGCCAGAAGGGGCTTTTATGTTGATGTCATTTTTATCTCCTGGTCCAATCCAAGGATTTCTTAGTGAAGATTCAGAGACCAGCCATGAGCTGGGACTTAGTGGTATTAACTCAACAAGTCTCCCTGCCTTTTAACTGAGACAGACTTTGTATCTACACCCAATAAAACAGAAATATGCAAAATCACAATGAGGGAACATAACCAGACAAAAGGAATGTGTTGGTGATCATTTCACAAGCACACACATATAATAGGAATAATATTAATAATAACATTAATAAACAGGACAGGAAGAAACTTTTTGAGGAGATGGGTATGTTTATGGCAGAAATTACAGTGATGGCTTCATGAGTATATACTTATCCCCAAACACATCAAGTTGTAGACATTAAGTATATGCAGCTTTGAGGTTAGTCAAATCAGTATCTCAATAAAAATTTTAGAAAGAAAAATGTTATCATAAAAGCAGAAAGGAATTCTTACACTCTGGTACTTTTAAATTCATAAAAGGAGGAGGAAAAGTACAAGGACAAAAATTAGATAAGCTCTCGATAGAGGTAAGTTTAAAGGAGCAGGTCTTTTAGGCCCTTTAAATTTAAAAAAAAAAAAAGCAGTTTCAAAATTGAGACTATTTCAAAGAAAACATGCATTTCATATATTAACCAAAAAAAAAAATGATGTTCTACAAAATGGCAATGCTGATGAAACCATGGTGAATGAGCTCTCCCATGTGCCAGCAGTGGGAAGGAAGATTAATCCAGCCATTCTGCAGGGCATTTAGTAGTATCTGTCAATACAGTAAATGCATTTATCATTTGTAAACTCACTGTGAGAAACAAAACTCAAGGACATTTTTGCAGAAGTTTATCCAAGTTTATGAAAAGGGTGTTCACAGTAGGACATTTTTTCCAATAATAGAGAACTGAAAGCATCGATCAGAACGTCCATCAATAGTGGACATGAGTAAGTAAGGATGGTAAGAGAAATAAGTTGAGGTATTCATATACAATGGAAAGTCAGCTACGTCTCTATACAAAGAAAGGAGGTAGATTTGATACTCATCATTCATCAAGAAAATATCCTAAAACACAAAAGATGTGAAAGTCTTGTTACTTCTCTAACTGTAGATACAAAAAACTACATGTAATTAGAACATAATGAAATAGATACCATATAAATATTACATAAACATACATAAACCAATTATGCAAATATTATAGAATGAATATGTATGTTGTAGTGTTGGTATATGATTTTTATATTCTTTATCTAGAAGGAATCACAAGAACTTAATAATGGTTGCTTTGAAGAGAAAGTTTTAAGTGTTTAATCATCAATTATTTTTATTTAGTCAGGAAATTATTGTCCATTGGGGTGTTCTCTCTCCCCATCTACTATTGTTTTTATGAAAAAAAAAACTAATAAATTTCATATAATACTTCACAAAATTTATCTTTTTTCCTTGCTTAAAGCTACTTGCAAACTATAATAGCCAATAAAATATTTTATAGTATTTGCATTCATTTAGTACGTTGCACCTAAATCTGTCTCCTCATCAGATCCAAACTGAAACTCGATAAAATGTAAATTCCCAAGCAGCACCTCAGAGCTGAGCCTCCTTCTCTGAGAGAGGGCCAGGGGCATCTTCATTTTAGCAAATGCCTAGTAATTTTCAAGTAGTAATTTGTTTATGCTAATGGAAGAGTCCCAGATAGAGAAAGTGAAGTCAGTCACATGGCGGCACACAGCAGAACAGAGAGCAATACCTAAGTTACTGAACACAGGCAAAGGCTGGTCTTAAGGTAACTACCACCTTCACCTTTTTTTTTTTTTTAAACAAATATTGGCACTCAGCAGCAACCCCCTTCTATATTTATCTCTGCTAAAATTTCATACATTCAAATTAAAGTGAAGAGAAATCCTAATTCAGTATTTCAATTCTTAATTTGCATATTATTTTAAAATTCAATTGTTTCACTTTCAAAATCCATGTTTATTCATATATATTACAGTTCTTGGAAGTAAGATATATAACCAAGTGGAATTAAATACTAAAACAATTCACCCCTTATTTCACTTAAGAATATAGTCGGTGTCTAACTTGTCCTAAGTTACAAATTCATTAAATATAAAATAATATAATTTTTAAAATTTTAAGTAGAAACAGGGACCTCTCAGACATTGTTTCTGAGGACATTAAAAATAGCACAGTTAATCTGGAAAACAGTTTGTCAGTTTCTTAAAAACTAAGCATTATTTTTGCCAATAATTGAACTCCTAGGCATGTAGCCCAGATAATGAAGACTTCTGTCCAAAACCTTGTACGTGATTGTCAGCTTTGTTGACAATAAAGTGAAAAACTGTTAAGAATTAAAATGTCACAGCAGGTGAATGGTGAAGCAAACTGTGGTACATTCATACCATGGGACCTACTTAGCAATAAAAATGAATGAACCATTGGTACCTATAATACTTGGATGTATCTCAAGGGCACTGTGCTGAGTGGGAAAGCCAATCTCAAATGGTCACGTATTGAAGACATTCCTTGAAATGATGAAATGATACTGATAAAAACAGAGCAACAGTTGCCAGATCAGGAATAGTGGGTGAAAAGGTGCATGGTTATAAATGGGGAGTCCAGGGGAGATTTGTGATAATGGAATTAATTCTGCATCTTGCTTGAGGTGGTGGTGGCAACAGTGGCACAGAATTCCACACATAGGATTTTTTTTGTTTTGATATTGTACTATTGTTAGTTGAGATCTAAGCAACAGAAGAAACTGGGGAGAGGGTCCTCTCTATACTACCTTTGCATAAACTATACTTATTTCAAAAGTAGAAGTTACAGAATATATGAGAGAGAGAGCACAAGTTCAAGAACACATGCACTTAACTACCCCCTTGCAGGATTGAGTGGTAGCAGCCTGCAGGTTGATCCGATGGCCAGTCAACCTGCCCCACCCAGTGGGATAGCAAAGATGTCTGAAGCACAGTCCTGCCCTTCAGGGGCTCCCATGCAGGTTCTGTTGACTGAAGGATGACTCTGTGCTATCTTACCAAATGTAAATCCAAATTAGCAGGGACTGATTCTAAACTACAGGGGAGAGGGTAACACCTTGAAAATGTTCCAGGCAGGAAATACCCCAATTCTGCAAGAAGTTGAGGCAACTGGATTCCAATGTAGAATGGGACTATATGGCTCTACCCATCCGCAAGCCCCTCCTCTGACTCTCACCAATTTACCTTGGTAAATACAGTTCTCCACCTACTGTATCCCTATGTTCAAGCAAGTGAAACAGGTTGAAGAACAGCACGTGTGCTCACAGTCACACATGTCAAGTAGATTTTACAATGCTCAATACTTCTGCCACATTTCCTTAGTCAAATGGCCTTCCACTCCACTAAGACAATATTCACAACATCTTCTCTCTCTTCATGATCTGCTAATAACTTCAAACTTCACTAAGGAGAGAGAATCTGGCTGATGGAACCCCTCCATGGTTACAGCATAAAATCTTTCAACTCTCTGGATCCCCAGTCTAAGTCCTGAAAAGGTTGTTTCCAAGACTGTCAAATCCCAAAGGTAAGGTCTCTGTTCATCTTACAGCTCTGCAATGTCATTAAGTTAGTCCCTCTTCCTTGAAATGGTTCACTCCCTTGGACTCCAAGGGACTTTCTTCAAACCTTGCAGGCAATTCACTTCTGCAGCAGTCTCTGTGCTACTTCCCTCTTTCCCCACCCCTCTGCTTCCACTGATATCTACATGCCTAAATTGCCTTCCTCAGTCCTCTTTTCCTCTATATACATTCCCAACATGAAATCTCAATTCCTAAGGGTTCAGCTATCATCTATAGGCTGGTGAGTCATAAGTTCATCATACATATAAAGAACCCCTACCCCACCAATAAACTGGGTTATTTGATCCAACTACCCATATATTTCCGCTTTGAAAGCCCAATGGGCAACTCAAACTTTAGCTTATCTGAAAGAGGACTGTTGATGTCAAAGTCATTTTCCTCCTAAAAATAAACCCTCATTTCTTGATCTAATCATGTCAATAAATGCCACCAGGATCTACCCAGTTGTCCTCTACATTTCACGATGAATAGACTGCAAACCTTAGGATTTGCTTGCGCCTTCCTCCCAGAAACTATCATAATCTGTCACCTGAACCACTGAAGTAGCTCCCTGTCTGAGAGTGCTACCTTCCCACCCATCAGTTACATCTGTCCCTTTGAAATCAAAGGCAGTTCTTTTCATTTCCTTGTTTAAGAATCTTCCTAAGGGGGCCCTCCCTGGTGGCGCAGCAGGTTAGGATACAGCATTGCAAGCTAGCCGCAGCCGTTTCAGTGCGAGTTCGATCCCAAGACCTGGAGGTGACTCACATGGCGTGGCAGACCTCGCCTTACCCGCCTGCTGCTCCCCTCAGCAGTGTACTTATCAATCTGCCTGTTCTGTTCCCCTCTCTCTCTCTGGTGCAGCCTCTTGCTGTCCCCCTGAATGTCTGGCTTGTACCCCAGTTCTGTATGAATAAAAAAAAAAGGAATCTTCCTATGACACAGTAGTATAAAATTGGAATATCTTAGCATGGCTCACAAGATGTGATCTAACCCTTATACCTTCTCTTTCCTATTGATTTCTTGCCTTTTATTCACAGAGGTATTTTTGC